GTCGAAGGAATATCTGTATATCCACGTATTCAAGTGTCGTTGCTTTTTCCACTGTTTAATGTTCCGTGTAAATTTAAATTGCATCCAAAAAATTAGAAATTTGGCATGAACATGTATGAATATATTGTTAATCATAATATGACATCAATTCCCATTCCGATCGCTATGAATTTTTCAGGAAAAATCAAAAACCACATTTTTTAAAGTCTTTGATTTTTCCTGAAAAATTCATAGTGATCGGAACGGGAATTGATGTCATATTATGATTAACAATATATTCATACATGTTCATGCCAAATTTCAAATTTTTTGGATGCAATTTAAATTTAAATTAAAATTAAATAATGCCCAGATCGCATAGATTGGCAATCTTGCCACGATTTTTCCCGAGTGAGAGAAAGCAAAATCCTCCACATTTGACCAGTTTTTGAATTTTAATACCTCCAAAAATACTTGGTCAATTAAAATTTTGTAAAAGCTACTGTGTGCGCAATTAACAAACCAATTTTTAGCAATTAAAATCTCAGTACGCCCCAAAACAGTCTTGGTATGTTATGGTTCCAACTGGTTTTCATACTGGTACTTTATGGTCCCAACTGGTTTTCGTCCTGGTACTTTATGGATCTACGGCGACGATATGTGACTTTACCGGACAAGCTACCGCACCATGAATATGTAGTAACACGGTTAACTAGGTATACTACTTAGGTGGGTAGACAGTTCAGTTATCCCTTTGTAGTGTGCGTGTGCACATACCAAATATGTATATCGGTTTACAAAAATATATAAAAAATAGTCATGTTAAATCACTTAATAAAGTGATTAGAAACATAGCGAAACAATGTCTCCACCAGAGGTGTAGGGAAGAATGGAACCTGTTCAGGTCAAACGCATAAATTTATCGCCAAATGTTAAAGCATTGAGAAATCTCCTAGACATGCGTCACTAAAATCGTCACAACTATTTAAAAGGTGATTTTAACACGGAAATTTTTGTATATTGTTTCAAACCGGTATAATGTGCATTGCATGCATATAGTAGTAAGATAGCTGAACTCTCCACCCACAAATAGTATACCTTGTAAGACCTGAGTCGCGCAAGTCACGTCTATAACCGGTATTCAAAGAATGTATCCATCAGATTTGGCGATACTTACGATAGTATTTTCTCAAATAGTTGAGCAGCGCAGTCAGAAAAAATGAGGTTTCGTGAGCTTGAATGATCAATAAACTCATTTCCAGAGAAACGTATATCTTGAAAGTTATAAGGAAGATGAAACCACCGAGATCTGCCATAGAAGAGGCGGCACTTTGACATTGGGCGACCTGCCAAGTTAGGAAAATTAGGTGCAGAATATACAGTCAATGGAACAAGTATAGGCACCACCCACGCAAGCTAAATAAAAATGGTTATAACTTTGGATTGCATCATCAAATTAGCATGAAACTTTGTACACATTTAGCAAATCTAATGTAGTGTTCGATTATAATCATGTTCCCGACTGAAATTAAATAACCGTAACGTTATTCTGATTTTGACACAAACGCGTCAGGTTACAACCTGCAAAAAGTATTGGCAACCTATGGGTTAATTGCTTGTGCGAAATTTTTATGACGATAAACCTCTACCTATTGTCACGGTAAGTTAATCAAATCACAAAATATAACTTTATCTGCTTCGTAAGTCCAGATTGGTATTGTCTAGAGCCAAAATTGCGACACCAAACGAGCAATTTTTGGCGGAGCGAGAAATAATCTTGCCTCCTTCTCAAACAAGCTTGGATATCAAAAACTCAGACATAAAACATGCCCAGCAATATTTACTATTCGAAACTTAGCCAAAAAACATGAAGCGATATTTTAAATTGCTGGTTTCCCATGATCCGGCTCAAAAAAGTCACCTTAGCCCAAAATCGACAGATTAATCAAGCAAGAAGTCACTCGAGATCGGAAGATTTCGGCTCCCAAAACAATGTTGAATTTGAGAACCAAGTGTGGGGCTAATATATCATTCAATTTGGTGATCAATCAAAAATCATGCAATGGGGTTTCAGGGTCCAGAAGCCCGACTGACGCGGGGGTCCCCAAAACCAACTAACTCAATAAATTGTAATGGGCTAAACACCACCCTAAACAGACTTCCAATGAATGAAAAAGGGTCTGCTGGTCCGACATAAGCAAATTCTACTTATTCGGGGCCAATTGAATGGTTAAAGTCTGGCGGGTGCCATTAAAGGCTCACAAAGAGGAATATGTTCATATGGCAGTTAAACATAAAGGAGGATCGATTATGGTTTGGGCTTAAATGACCAGTTCGCGGCGTAGCTACGTGGTCATTATCGATGAAATCATGATTAATCACGTCTAATTAATCATTCGAAACGATAATTTGAAAACACTTCACAAAAACACGACCTAGGAAGTAATTTCATATTCCAAAAATGCAGTGGCCCCAAAACATGCATCCACATTAACGATGCAGATTTTTGGAGACCGAAAAGGTTAAGCTTCCTTTGTTGGCTGCACAGTCTCCCGATGTGAATCTGATTGTCCGGGTTGAGAAAAGAGCGACTGGTGGAAAACCACCCGTCGAAAAACGAGCTTGGCAAAATTTCGAACGAAGAGTGGGCAGTCATATCAAAAAGCGTCAGAAAGAAACTTCTGGAGTCAATTCGATGGCGTGTTTCTGCTCCTATTGTATCGAGAGGAGTTGCTATGTAATACCAGAAGCGATTTGTCGTATTAAAATTGGCGTTTCTTTGCCTTATGATTTTTAAGTTCAAGGGTGCCAATACTTTTTGTGGGTAAATTTTGCAAATTTCTCAAGAAATTATTCAAAAACTGTGTTTATCTAATTTTAATCAGTAAAAAATTACTATAATCGGATACTACATTAGATTTTTCAAATGCGTACAAAGTTTCATGCTAATTTGATAATGCATTCCAAAGTTATAGCCAGATATACTTGGCTTGTGTGGGGGTTGCCTATACTTGTTACATTGACTGTACCCTGCGAATGTACAGTTAGATTTCCATTAAAGCCATTTTGAACGATTGACTTTGGTCGTTAGATGTGTTCCATCCCATGTAAATGGCGTCACGCCGAAGAAATTCCCAAGATATAAAACATACCGATAAACTAGGAAATATATATTTGAAAAGGGCTCAATTGTAGTGTACCGAAATGATTTCATGTATGAAATAATTTTAGCAAGCTTGCCCATTTCAGAGTATTCTACGAAATTTTTACTGTAATCTGCGGAGTTTGAACAACTCTCATTCTCCGACTGGTAACAGGTTTGTAATAATATCCCAAAACTATAAATATTCATAAGGGCGATGAAATTTATTTAGGTTAGCGATGGCGTACACAGTTACTACCTTAATTCAGGTCATGTTTAATTTGAGGAATATTTATTAATTTTTATTCGTTATGTCTGCAAACATGCATTCATATTATGAAAAACCTAAAATATGTACATATTTTTTAATTTGAGTTATCTTCCAAATTCAACTTTGAACTCTTTCCTTCTTATTCCTTCTTTTTGCAAAGCACAAATTAATTAGGGTTTACAGCAGTTTCTCACTAATAAATAATATAAATTGTCTAATGTTTAATAAGTATGGAATTGAGGCATTTTGTCGGATGGATATATTAATTATGACCGAAGCTTTGGGAAGAAGTGGATATGTAAATTACGCAGTTCCAGGTAATACCTAGTAGAATGGTAGTATGCTAACCTAAGCAAATATCTAGTTAATTACTTTTACACAATTTTAAATAAGTTATTATGTAGTTCTAATACCAAAATTCTAAAACTATAAAAGCTTGTAATAATACTTGTAATAATAGGCCACAGGTCTTGAAAGTGACCAGGGCATTGGAAAAAGTTTTTCTGATAAATGTTGTGTCCGGTCAATTTGGTCTTAGAAAATTTTGTGTGGGGTCAATTTGGTCATAAACATAGCCAGTTTGGTCTCGTTAGACTGATTTTATTCATACATATACCTGTTTTACAAATGTACATATGTATGCATACTTAACATGTCTCGGACAAATTATTTAGTTACAATGGAGGTCTCTCTACGTATGCTCACAGATTTGGACCAAACTAACGTCAATCGATCACAAATATAATTAGTATAAAATTTGCAAATGGAACTATCTGCCAATGCGCAGGTTTGGCGGAGATATTTGCATAAAAAGAGGAGAAAACGCATCCCCAACGCTGCCAAATTTTACATTTTCCAAATTTGCTGCGCAATTTTCCCGCTTTGAAAGCAAATATCTCCGCTAAACCTGCGCATTGGCAGATAGTTCCATTTTCAAAGTTCATACTAATTATATTTGTGATCGATTGACGCTAGTTTGGTCCAAATCTGTGAGCATACGTTGGGAGACCTCCATTGTTAGTTACTATATAATTTATTTGTATATATAAATTTATTACAATTGACGATTAACAAAAAATAACCAATATTAAATTTACAGTGGACATTGTTTTCCCGATACTTAAGATAAGGATAAATATGTATTTACAGAAATTTCAAAATTTGTGTGAAGTTTATATTGTAAGGTACACTCTGGAAATATATATGTACCAACCCTGAGTAGATTATTAGTCTAGTGTTAAAATTAGGTCATTTTACTAATTTTAACACTAGACTAATAATCTACTCAGGGTCGGTACATATATATTTCCAGAGTGTACCTTACAATATAAACTTCACACAAATTTTGAAATTTAGTAATGCATGTGTATGCCTTATCTCATTATAACAATGGTACCATGTACTGGTGTTTGGTATTTGTTATGGATCCGGGGGATATTTTTAGTATGTAATATGCAATAAGATATTCATTATGCAAATGCACCATTTGTATACATATATCGGATTTAGAATTCAGATAAGAGCAGGAAGCTCTGCAATTACATTACCAACGAATTAATCTGTTTACATATATATAGAGCCTTAAGGTCAAACATTTGACCTCTTTAACATTTAAATAATATAAACGGCATCCAACCGCCATATTTCTGGGATTCATCTATGCAGAAATTTAGACCTACATAAGATCTGAAGCACTTTGAGTTGCGCACAATACTAGAAGACTTTAAAATTTTACTGGGAGACTTTATATAGCTACATAAATCTTATTATTTCTATTTAATAGATGCTCCCAGGTAATAATAAAGTGGGATTACATTTCCTTTTGAAATACGTATACTTACCCAGCCGGCACAATCCCGCTATATCGCCGCGATATCGACTACGGATTTCGCTCAGCGAATCCAGGCAAATCGCTGCGTATTAGTCGCGAAATTGGCGCTAGTTGGCCGGCGATTTATTGCTACATCGCAGCGATTCAGCAACGAAATTTTCTCCGATTTCGTAGGGATTTCGCTCATTGTAGCTTACTTTATTTAATGATACGTCGCCTTGAAAATCAATAAAAACTCAAATGATTCAAATTCAAAGTGAACAATTTATTTCAAATTGACACATACGGTGAAAATATAACAACAAATATCAAGCAATAGAATTATAACATGCTGCCTGTTCACCATCCACTGGGTTTTTTGTAGTAATAATAGGTCCATTGGCTGCTCTCCTGTTAATTTTATAATCCCATTAACCAAAACAAATATTTCATTGTTGTTTTACTTTCGAGTTCTTAGTCTGTCGGCAGCTTTCTTAAGAGTTTTGGGAATCGCCAAATCTAGAGCCTCCAATGTTGCGTTTGCCTTTATCTTAGTGTTGCGTTGAAGACCAACTGAACAAAATAAAATAATACGGAGTAAAAGTAATACCTGACCTATTTTTAAGAATAATATTGACTTTTCTTACGTAATAAAGAATCATTCAAATTCAAGCAAGGGTGGCTTTTTAATACCAGACGAAGCCGCGACAAAGCTTCGCTTGTAATGTTATATTTTAAACTCCAATTTTTAATTCGATTTATAATGTTCACATTGGTAGCACTTTCTATATCACCATAACTTTCTGAAATTTCACAAATCACTGTCGCTGGTAGTGTCGTTATATTTGGTGTATCCAATGAAACTTGCCCGGCCTGACACGTCCTTTCTAGGCGATGGACAACTTCATTCTCGCAAAAATTTGTTTCTTGATTTTGGAAATCACGAAGCTCTTCCGTTTCCAAAGAATTTGATAGGGGAGCACTACTTTTTCTCGTTTCGTATTGTAGTTTACGAGGCTTTTTCAAAAATGTTTGAACTGTCTTACACAAATGTCTACGCCTTGACCTTTAACTTAAAACATAATAAGGGCAAGAAGGCATGTCACCGCCCGTCAGCGGGCTAGTACTCACGGAGCATGCTTCTCTCTAACTGCAGTCAGACCATTATACAATAAATCTCTACGAACTCGCTGTTAATGGGCTTAGAAAATCGCTACGAAATCGCTGTCAATGAACCTAAAAATTTGTAGAGTATAAAGCGATTTTAAGCGATTTTAAACGTAGCGATTTCTCCGCTATTTCGCAGCTACTCGCGCACTGAAAATGTTATCCAGCTATATCTTTACGATTTCGCAGTTACTACTGCAGCGATTATTGAGCGATTTGGGCGCTAGAAAATGTAGCTCAATAATCGCTCTCATCGCAGAGATATCGATCAGCGATGTGCCGGTTGGGTATTTATTTGCTTTACTCAATTCAAAGTACTATGCGTTGTAAGTTAGATGAGAACTTTTAGTTCTTAATTTTTAAGCTTGCCCGGCAATAGTTCGAATGATCTGATTACTGAAATATTCTCAACATGAGATCATAATAAGTCACTAAAATCTCTAACTATCCTATACGGGGAATTTTAGTAACTTTCATATCACTTGATAACATATTTTCATGATTTGAGAATTTCTGCCGACTTCCGCTTTAAACGAGGCAGTGTTATGTGAGCAGGAATACCTGCTAATTACGCCCTCAAAGGTTCAGATAGTTCGTACGCAGGGATATTTTGAAAACTAACAATAAATTTGTCCTTCTCAGATGATTCATTAATAAAATTAGAAAATTATTTCCAGACACTTTTTAGTCAATTTAGACTTTTAATAGCAAACAAACAGCAACACAAAGACATGTGTCTACAGATATGTATTTGTGTTGTTGCCGTAATTATCGGATGTACTAACACATAACTCAGATTTTGCTTATTTTATATACACACATACACATCAAAGTTAAGGGGACAAACTTGTTCGGTTGTTCACGATCACATATATGTACAAATAGATATCAGGTAAGAAGAATTGGATAAGCATTATTGCTCGTTCCCTCCGTGCGAACATTTTGTGACCACTCTGATAACTGATCTGAGAAAAATATTGTTGTTAAGGTTTAGAAAAATGAGGGGCTTACTCCTTCCCTTGCACGATCACTACATATTTATACGGGTCAAGTGCTATCCAGTAATAAATCCCTTTCCAGCTGCAAGGATAAAATAATCCAGATACGGAAGGGCATGAAGAACTAAGTAAAAGGATCGAGGTCGGGACAACCCTCCCGTAGTGTGCCAGCGGTGCCGCATCGCAGTAAAATCTCGGGAAACTAAAAATTAAAGTAAGTTGTGCAGGAGACAATCATAAGGTTCATTCCGCAAAAAAATTGTATTTTAACTTCTCTAGTACCTAGTGTCTTCTGCAGTATCCAATATGCAATCCGTACCCTTCTTAGAAAAAATACTTCAAAATTGATTGGGAGTTTGATGACATGGAATCCATGCAACAATTTTAAACTGATTGCGTCATCCTTAGTCTAATGATAGTCAAAGCCTGGCAGTACTGGAAGATTATGATTAAAGAAATAATGAAAATGACTGACATTAGAAGTAGGTATTTCACAAAATGTGGAACTATAAATGTGGCGCTAGGACAAATAGAGACGCGAAAGTCGAAAGGAATAAAATTTTTGAATTGATGAAGAAAAGAAATAGGATTTACAACCTTAAGGACAAGACGGAAATTACACCAAGGGAACTGTACGATGACACCTCTAATCCATAGCTTTTGAGAATTGAAGATCGAAGTTTTAAGTCGTTCCATCGATCCACATCTACATAATTCTTCGTGCTCAAGTTTTCCAGGAGTATTTAGTTTTTTCCAGCTTTGTTAAAGATTTACTTAATGTAATTATCAAATGTTCTAAACATATTTTAAAACGGTTTTCATTCTGTTGTTTTGAAAAGAAGATGAGGAGGATTTCATACAAGTAAATCATCACCACGGATTAATCTAACTTAGACTCACAGACTCACTATGTAAGTATATAAACGACATGGAAGCGAATGTCATGTTTAATGCTACTAGCAATGCACTCAGATTAACCAATTATCATATGGTTAATCAGAAACTATAAAACAGGAACCCCCCCAGTACCCTCCTCACCAAAGACCTTTATGGTTACAACAGGATTAGATAGAATGGTGTACTATCGAGCAGACTACGAAACCCTAATCTAACTAATTTCCACGGATGTATGTGGGACATGATCATAGTGCGCCATAAATAATATTAAAACTTTAAAATTAGTTGTCATTAGACCTTAGTAGCTATTAACATAATGAATTATGAATATTGTTATGGGATAAGTTATCTTCTTGTAGTACCATTTTTCCTCATAGTTGAATTAAATGTTTCAAGAATTAAATATAATTTATGGGCCAAAGGCCCCTAAATTAAAAAATTTCGAATTATGGAATTCATTAAAGGCGTGGGTGGCGATTCAGTGAAAAGTTCAAATTACGACGTTTTAGTGTCAGCCAAAGATACGAATATTCTTATGCGAAAATATTCCTTTGCGAGGCGTTAATAACCAGAGTTATTCAATTTATATTACAAGTCTCGTTATGATACAGCTAATCCAACTTGTTTCTGGGATGGAACCCACTGCGGCGTACATATGTACATTTTGTCAAGTCACAAAAATTGTGTACATAATTAATGCAAACGCCTAATTTATGCATCAACTGAATCTCATTGCCAATCAGATTCCACAGGACGGTTTTGATCAATGTAGGTCAATTTCTTGACCCTTTTCCTACATTACCCATTATTTAATCTAAGAATTCTGGTATTGTTCTAAATTGTAACGGGTCAAGATGTATTTTACATTTTTATTTATCTAACACTTGGGGTGTGGAATTATTGATAGCCGGGATAGCACAATAAATTGTCTGCAAAATGAAGGGCCGAATTGATCGTTTTTTCTACCATCTGGGGAAAAAGTACTGGATAAAGTCATTGATTATATAGATATTTTCCTCGTGAATACTAATTCCTGGAACTATCTGACATTTGTAATGCTGATTGTATTCTGATTTTTTATATTTATAATGTCTAGATAAATATAACCTGGCTTTTAGATCAGAAGATATTTAACCAAGATCAGACCAATCGAGAGGGGATATAGAAATGACCGGAATTCAATTGAACCAACCTTGAATGGGATGCAATGCAGCACAATGAAACGCAAATTTATACTATTGGTAGGTGTATAACTAAACATACGTTACACACCGCATGGTTGAATAAATTAATGTAATTTTAAATAAATTCTCATATATTAAATAAAACAAGATGTTGCCATATTGTGAATATTGACGCCATATTTTCCTAAATTCAATGCACGAGTTAATCATACGTTAGAGGTGTTAAATAAATGAATTTAGAATTTGTATGTAGCTACGCCCACAATTTGGCATGTTGAAGCACCGCACCCATGATCTAATTAGTTAGCGAACTATGTAATTAATAAAGCATAAGCAGAAGTGTACAATAAAGCACCCTAGAAATAGATTCGTTGCCTTATGGAAATGTTCATTATTTAACGCCATTTGCATCAACAGCAATTCACTCATCAAAGTTATTCAAGTAATAAATACATACCCTAATCCTAAGGAGGACAACCCTTCACCGACAGAATCACAGATCTCGATGCCCTTTGGATATGTTGTAGTCCTAGGTGAGTCTAGCAAAAGTGAAGAAGGATTTCATTCCATGGCCCCATTTGCGCCCGCCACACCCACTCAAAGGTGCAAAAATATCAACAAATCTTTTGCAGCACTGGAGTCACTTCTTCATCCCAGTGTCGACAAACTAGCCGAGCGTTCTTCAAGCTTCGCACGGAGAGATGGGACAGAACTTTGGAGAAAATCTGGAAATTAAGGGGAAAATTAGTTTTGCCGATGAGTTGGCTTTACTTAAATGCACCAAATATAACTAGTCAGAAACTTGAAAAATTCACTCCTAGATAATTTTGAATGCGATGGTATAATAAATAGCAACGAAATCAAAAAATAAAAGTTGAAATTTCTTATGTCAGCTTGTCTACAGTTAATTTCTGGTTCATCAACAGTCTGGTTTCCATAAAATGTGTGTACTTTGTTTAAACTTAAACCATTGCATCCCCAAATTTATCCGCGAGTCCAAAATTGTTCAAAAGTTCAATTTTTCAAAGGTTGGTGATTGCATAAGACACCATTTTTTAATAAAATTAGAGGTGTAATGTATTAAACAATTTCACATTTTGCTTACCAGTTGATTTCGATCCAACATGAAATTTAATTCTTTCGCATTGTCCGAGGCACAAGTTTTCCTACAGTATTCTAAAAGGTTACGGTACTCGCGTTTCTAAAATTACCACAAAATTAAAAATTATTCAAATTAGTTGATATGGTGTAATTTTGAAATTTATTTTTACCTCAAACGAAAAGATGGCAAGTCCACCAGAAATATCGTTGCGGCGCTTGATCATGGTGAATGTGTCGCCAAAATTTAGCGGCTTTTTTACTTCGTCATCCAGCTTTACGCCGTTTTTAAAAATTTCGTCTCCCTAAATTATTTTATTATTAGCAAAATATTTAATTATGAAGTAAGTTTAATACCTCCAACCTTTAACGCTTTGACCCAATACTCATGATCCTCGCATAAGATTTCCAGGCCAAAATTCCAGTTCCACGTGCCCAACTGGGTGCACGTGGTCCTGAAAAAGATGAAATCCCCCTGCGTCTCCCACGACGTGTACGTATGGCCAATGGTGTACTGTAATTAAATATTGAAATTTGCATTTAATTAATGACACCTGTATGAAATTACAGTTAATTAATTCGTATCTAATAATGTAACCTTTTTATGGTCAACGTAGGGCAAGACAACCGACCAATAATAAGCTTCCGTGTTAAATTTAGCTTTAAAAACACCATCCGGGGTTCGGATGAACCTGGCTGCCATTATTTCGATGACTCTGCAAGCGGAAATTATTAAATATGAATTATTATTATTATTAGTCGTTAATTTTAAAACAAGATTGATAAAATATTCAATTTTGTAAACCAAAACGTAAAAAGCAAGATTTTTTAAATAATAGAAAAATAGATAATTTAAATACTAGTAATACATAATGTATTACCTGTATTTAAATTATGCCGTGATAGTCAATTAAAATATTAATTATTTTTAACAAGTGTGAAAAGTGAGTATCATTTTGTACAAAACTATAAAAACTAACCCAATTAAAGTTTACCAGAATGGCCGATCTTGATGCACTTTGGATATGTTGTAGTCCTAGGTGAGTCTAGCAAAAGTGAAGAAGGATTTCATTCCATGGCCCCATTTGCGCCCGCCACACCCACTCAAAGGTGCAAAAATACCCTGTTTTGGTTCATTAAAAAAATCACCAAAAATCCAATTTTGGTCGGATTTTCACAATTTAAGCATTTTTGTGACCTTAGATAGTTGCTTTATCATATCCAATAGCAAACTCAACTTTTTTGAAATTTTGATTTTTTCGAAATCCACGAAATTTTCGAAAATATTCAAAAAATTCAAAAAATTGAAATTCATGTCGGATACGATAAAACAACTATCTGGGATCAAAAAGGTGCAAAAATTATCAAATTATCATTAAAAATGGATTTTTGGTGAATTTTTTAATGCGACCAGTTTGGCATAGGATTCCTCTTTGAGGGGTGGGTGTGGCGGGCGCAAATGGGGCCATTGAATGAAATCCTTTTTCACTTTTGCTCAACTCACCTAGTGCAACAACATATCCAAAGGGCATCGAAATCGGTGATTCTGTCGGTGAAGGGTTGTCGTCCTAAGTACCAAAGTACTTAGGGTATGGGTATGGGTACTTGGCACAAGACCGCAAGTACAAGATTGGAATGTAATACTAATCTTACATTAAATACACACATACATTAAATACATTAAATCATAAATACATTAAATACATACTATGTATTTAATGTATGTATTTAAGTTCATATGTGGAGCGTGTTGTGCGTGAAAATGCTTCTTTCTGTGTACAAATCTTTTAATACCCTCGTCCATATCATACCCTAATTATCTGTATTTGTTATGCAAACTTTGGGCATATTACATGTATATATTGTAATAAATATACCTAAGCTAATTTATGCTGAATATGTAAATGAAATTAGTCTTTAAAATTAAATCGTAGTCGGCCGTAACTAGAAACCTGGTCCACTTCGGAGAACTGCGACATGCATCGGATTGCATCACGTTGACGATATCCAGAGGATTTTTCCTGCATGATGTCACCAATGCTACCTTCTTCTGTTCGTGGTATATTGTCGGGGATCTGGAAAACGAGATAGGATAATTAGAGCTTTTAAGTAATATATTAGCTGTTATTCTGTTTAAATAAACATTCTAAAGAGGTTATCTACTAGATTTCAAAGCATTAAGGGACCGGTTAATAATTATGCATGTAACCAACTTGAATTTCAGGGAGAATTGTAATATCAAATTATTACCAAAGCATGAAAAAGAATTGTTATTACCTTACCACTAATGAATGTATTGCAAAGGAAGAGTTGTATATAATCGGATGAATGTGTTAAAATATGTAAGTATGTATTCCGTACAGAGAGATCCAAACGGGAGATATCATTGCTATAAATTAAAATAAGTAATTAATAACAATACAGTTCTCACACACCCAACCTACAACAACAACAACAACCTAAATTGGTACATACATATCATACTTAATATGCCGTAGCCGCGGAAGCTGGGGGGACCTCTGGGAAAATTACCATTGTAAGATAGGGAAGGGAGGGGTTAATACAACATGGGCAGGTGATGGGGACATCAAATAACAGTGGGGCAATGTCCCCAGTCCCCGCGCTTCCGCGGCCACTAATAATATACCCGTTACACATATGTAACTTACCCGATTCCACTGCAGCGGGCGGCTCCGTTAATGTGACCTATCAACGTAACAAATTACACACAATTACGTAACGATGATGCCCCCCTGTATTTGGAAATTAATAGAAATTCTAAATTCTGCATTCTGCATGTTAAAAATCTTGTATTTCTTTTTTCATTCGAAATGCATCAAGTGTGTGCATTACAAATACATATGTGTATAAATAATTTATAAATTTTACTTACGTTAAAAAGTTTGGAAAACAAAATTTGACTGCACTATTGGATAACACTTTTACCGGCGCATTTCCCTTTTATAATTCAACAAACCAATGCACTCAGGACGAAGAAATAGTACAATTGGCGACAGGATAATTTCTCACAGATGACTAGATTTGAGCTTTTTAGGTATTTTTTATTTGATGTACTTATCTTTAGATAATGTATTTTTGGTTTGAAAAGTTTGTAAGGTGTTTTTTAACGGAAGGCTCAAAAAGTAATGAAGAGATTGATCACTGTAAATGCGTCCTCTCTCCACGGTGCCACTCCCAAATATGTACAAAACTCCCTCAATCTTGATTTATGTAGATGGATTTAAGCGTGGGAATGAAATTTGCTGACAAGGAATATTCGTACATACATCCTGTCATGTCGAGTACAATTAAGAATTACTCTGTAAGTAGAAAATCAGGCTTGTGCAGTTCCAATCTGTATGCGCCCTTTATCCTAAAATTGCATTATTTTTCATGGAAGCTACGAATCTCAACTTTTCCAAAAGATGTATGGAAATTGTGCGTATGTATAGGTAATTATAGTCATCAAAGGATTTTGTGTGGCCCATTTGGTTGAGAAATGAAAGCTAGACAATTTTACATAGTTCGGGTGACATTAGATCATTCTGCTTACTCGGACATTCATCCACCACAACTTGGACATTGATCAGATTGCTGAGAGTGAAGATGACAAGGAAACCTTAATTGTTTAAAGAAATTAAGTCATTAAATATTTTTTATTATAGAGTAATGATTATAAAACTCTGCTGATGACTGGACACTAACTTGTAATTGCAGTAGTGAACAGCCATAATGGCTGTTCACTACTGCAATTACCTAAATGGCTGAGCCATTTAGGTGTAGTTTTGCATATCATTTACTTTATGTAAAGAAGAGTATTCAGCAAATATTAAATAAGGGAGCGTGCATAAGAAGTATGTACATATGTAAATATGTATAATTTACACATTGATATAAGGGGTGTTAGGGGTCCTTATCTAAAATTGAGGATAGACGCTCTTTAATGATTTAAGTATTCGACATTCGCAGATAAACATACGTAAAAATTTCAAATGATCTAATTAATATGCATATTTACATGGAAATTCTAGTCGATTTTGGCATTTTTGAGTCTTTTTGTCTTTGTTTCTCATGCATTTGAGACTGGCACGGAATTTGATTCAATCATCTGCTCAGTTTTGTCAACATTTATTTTTTAGAACCCATCCACCATCGTAAAATAATAACAATTAACATTTTGTATTTTAAAAATCTACAGGGTATCGCGTGCAATTTAATTTACGGCTAAATACAAGTTCGTTCAGGTAAGGAAAGATAATTAGCATAAGTATTACTCTACTTCCGTTAAGGTGTAAGGTAGCTGTAAAGTAAAATCGGTGATGTTTGTATGCAGAAATTTGTCTGATTATTTGTGATTCAAATTTGGAGTTAAAATGTTTCTATATTTAAAATAATTGTTTTATTTCAGATTCGCCATGTCCGACCAGCTCTGTTTGCTCTGCTTACGATCCTTTCACCTAGGAGAGGGAACCAACTCGGCGAAATTTTCCACCACAAACATCCGGGTGGCGACGTTGTGCCAATTGTTACGACCGAGTTATAATGATAAGGCAGGTTATCTTCAATTTGAGAAGGACGAGACATGTCAATTTTGTTCGACTTGCTATCCCCATGTCAGCCAAGTGGAAGAAAACCGGAAGCAAATTGTCCTCCTGGAGGAACAAATTGGGCGAAATGTTGATCATATTCGAACCACAATTTTAAATTCATCGTCTTCATCTCAGGAAGACAACACAATTATTGACATTCGAAATATTCTACTTCGTCTGACCGGTTGGTTTTGCTTTACGATTTTATTCTAGTTTTATAATATTTTTGTTTGACACAAATCTGAAATCTCGGAGTCCTTATGACCTTTGTAAACTTTATTCTGTAAACGTACAAACGTTTACAAACTATTTCCAAGGAAAATTAGCTTATAAATTGTTGTCAGTTTGCTCAGATTAAGGTCGTCTTTTTATTTTATGTATGTATACTAGTTTTCAAAATTACGTTACAAAATTTACGGATTTTACAAATTTGCCAAAGACTGCGTTAATCGTCTCTTTATTTTATGATTAATTAATATCTTATAATTAGCGGAGGAGGAGGAAGAAGACGACAATTATGCACTGGACGAATTTCAAGTCAAACTAGAGCCGGAAATTGACCATAGTAATGACGTCGATCCATTGGAGGATGGGGATTTTCATTTCGATTACTCGTCAAATAATCACCTGGATCTCAAAGAAGAAGACGATGAAGATGACGATTCTTCTTTTTGTATAACTCCTTGCTCACTAAATGAGTCAAACGTCGTCGTCAAATCAAGGCGCCGAAAGGGCACAAAGCGCAAGACACCAACTACACTAAAAAGGTAGCAATTGGTATTCAATTAGAAATTATTTTGCCAATATACCTAAAAAAATTGGTCTATCCCTAGAAAAAATGACACGAAAAAACGAAAACGGGAACAAAATATAGAAACAACGACTCCAAAACGAATCAAGCAAGAATTTCCTCCCACCCTGGAAGCGACACGATCCTCTTCACGTATCAAAAACTCCACCCATCCTCTAAAAGACGTTAAAGAAATATTTCCAAAGAAAAAAACTCTTCAAAAATCTGCCCCCGATTTCCAATTATTAAATGATATAAAGTCTGACGACCCAGATTGGGCTGAAAACAATTCCTCCACCCCCAAGAATGAATCTCAGCCTAAAAAGTTCATTCCTCGCTCCGTACCGAACGCCCATTTCTACCCGTGTCCCGTCCCCGGGTGCTCGTCTTACTCCACCTCCAGCCTGAGAAGGGAGACCCACCTGAAGCGGATTCATGGAGGCGGAGCTCACTTCCCGTGTCCCATCTGCCCCAAAAAGTTCCAACGCCATTACTCCGTCGCCATGCATTTGGCGAAAAGTCACGAAAAAGGGGAAAAAACCTTGGCCTGCGTCAAATGTGGGAAGAAATTCTGTCTCATTCAGAATTTGGAGAGACATTTAAACTTTCACGAAATCGAGGAAGCCAAACCCCTTGTTTGCCACGTGTGCGATTTACGATTTGAAAACGACACGAAGCTTGGCCTACATTTGGTCCAACACAGTTCGAAACGCTACACATGCAGCCACTGTGGGAAGGGATTCGGCAATAAGCCTCCTTTGGATAAGTACGAAGCTATTTTTGGTTAAATAAATAATTTGTGTGTATCAATAGCAACTAATATTTTTTGTCTTTAGACACATTCGCCTTGAGCATACGGGAGAACGACCGGAAAAATGTGACCAGTGCGAGGAGTCCTTCGTTGACAAGGTGGCCCTCACTCGTCACGTGGCCTACGTCCACACTGAGACCAAAGAACACGTCTGTCATATTTGTGGAAAAGACTTTCACCTCTTAAATGTCTTGAAGTGGCATCTCAAACGACATGACGAAAAGAAAAGGCATGCCTGCGAAACGTGTGGTGAAACGTTTTTAGACCCGTGTACCTTGCAATCACATCGAGTCAGGATGCACAACGAGGCGCCTGTGATTTGTGACGAGTGGTAATTTTTTACTTGAATATTTTTTACGGCTTAATTCAATCTGAATAAAACCTTTGTAAATATCTATGAATCTAGTGGGAAAGCCTGTAGCTCGGATAACACGTTACGAAAACATAAGTTGACCCATTTGGAAGTGAAGCCACACCAATGCAGTGTAAGATTTACTTTGGGCGTACTCTCGAAATTTTGCACATTATAATTTGCGAAATGTGCAATATTTTTGTTAAGCAGTTCAGTGGGGGGAATTTTTTCTCCAAACATTTTTAGAAAATGTAATTTTTGTAAATTTCACTAGTTCGCAGGATGACATACTTACCCAATTTTTGAAAAACAATTTGCGAACTAAATACTAGCCTTGGAGGCGTGCAAGTTCGCAAATGAATTTTCAAGCTAAAACTTTTTGCGAGCTTGCTAACGTTTTTTTTGTTAACGATACTAATGATGCGAACTCTTACGCAATAATAACACGTTGTCGTGAGCACCCCCATTACATATATTTTTGCCTCTAAAAAATATAATTTTGCAAAAACTGATCCAACTGATTTTTTTAAATTTAGGTTTGCCAGGCTCGTTTCGTTCGGAAGTCAGAACTCGACAGTCACATGAGGGCTCACACGGGGGAACGGCCTTATCCCTGCCCCCACTGCGAGATAGCGTTCAAGACGAGGAAGCATTTGGCCGTGCACGTACAACGGTTCCACACACCTGGCTACGTCGTCCGGATCCGGCACCCGTGCCCCCACTGCGACAAGGGCTACCCTTCCAACTGCTTCCTCCAGGCGCACATCCGTCAAGTCCACACGGGCGAGCGGCCCTTCGTCTGCGACCAGGCCGGGTGTGGAAAAGGGTTCGCGAAAAAGACGTCGCTCTACCTGCACTTGAAGGGTCATCATGGTCTCGTAATAGAGAAAAAGCGTAAACACGTGCTGCCGAAAGGAAAGAGGAACGTGATTCCTTCCGTGGAGGAAAACGTGTGCAATTAAACTTAAATTTAATTTTTACTATGTAATAATATTGTAAAATTGAACTGATTTTATTACACGTAATACATTTTTCTACCAAGATTATATATTTTATAATGATCCCCTCATTTATAAGATTACGTCAAATGATTCCGTTAATTACGATTTTTTCGTATGTAAATCATACTATGTATTATTAATATTAAGTGCATACAAGAAACTCCATGTCACCACTTTTACATTTAAACTCACTCCCGCCAAAACCATAATACCCGCCCCCGCTTACATGGTACGAGCCAGGCATCCAGTTTCTATTATTGTTTAGACAACTGACCACATAGAGCGTTTCCCTTGAAGCCGTTCTTCCTCCACGGATCGCCCCCGCGGGAAGAGTGTCAGATCTCACCCACCTCAGCGCATTGGAGTGAGGATTGGTCAAAACTTCGATTTGGTCAGATCCTCCCTTCGCATACTCTCTCCCGCCCCAGACGATGTCGCAGTTTTTAGACGCAGTATGATACTTTCCAGGAATAATGTCCCCTTGATGGTAGACACGACAGTTGTATAAAGGCGTGCCATCCGCCTCCCAACCAATTAGCACCATATTGGACGAACTGGTCAAGGAGTTTCTGTTCACGAAACGGTAACCGAGGCAATCTGAGAAAGTATTTACATACGGTGGAATTATTTATGCGTGTCACTTCATTGGCATAAATCTCACTATGCCCATTTCCATGTTGAATTTACTGTCTCTCGCCAATGCGTCAAAATTCTTATGCAAATGAGGTGACACGCACGAATAAATTCACTGTACGTTCATGTTAATGCAAATCCTGGCCAAATTTTTGGTCGCAATTTTTGGTCCAAATTTGCAAATTGAGTAAATATCAATTGACTCACCAGAATTACAGCCATACATTTCATTTAACAGTTCGATATCCAGGACGGAAAGCGAACCCCCACTCCCACACTTGGTAACGCCTGGTTGCTTCGGTAAATAGCAGCCGTTGTAACATTCCCCTTGAAATTAAGAATTATCGTAATTTAATATTAATTCTAAAATTGTAATACTAAATCAATAAAATGTTCACCTTCGTAATGTTCAATACTGACGTAATCGTAGAGCTTGTGCAGACCAAATGGTAAATCGTCCTTTCCTGGCGGGCTGCATTTCGAAGTGTCGAATCCAATCCAATTATCTCGATCTTGCCGTGTCTGCTCGTGTCCGAGACAGAGGGTGTGACCTAATCATAAAAGGACAACGTATAGACTAAAATTATCCGTGTTTAATTAATCACTCTAAATAAATTAAGCAAAATTAGCTCAAGTTTGAATGAAATTCATGCAACACTCTTCGAAATACTTAATGTTACCCTTTCGAAAAGCAAATCCACTCTGAATTTAGTATTAAGTGAATATAAATCCAGAGTAACGTTAACTTGATTAAGCGTAAAGTTTAGTCTGTATTTAGTAAATACAGTTTACTTATCAAATTCAGGGTGCACTAACTTTTCCAAAAGGATAACAGTATTTTTAAGAGTGAAACTTGAATAAAAATCTAGATGACATAATTAGGCATGCCTAATTGCATACATATATCATCTAGATTTTTAACTGCAGTTACCTAATTCGTGCGTCATAACGCCACTCGTGACACAGCCTCCCCCAAACTTAGCAAATTGGGCGCCATTATTCATACACATGTGCGCCAAGCCGCAGACATTGTCGTCATACAAGATTTTAACCCAAGACGTGTGACGATTCTGCTTCGGAACAAAGCGGATGCAGGTGTTCTTGTGAAAGTTGTTTATCGCTTCGGCAACCCGGACGCGCATGTCTGCTGTAAACTTGGCGTCTAGCATATAAGGGACCTGAGCGTTGGTCCATATTCTCATCCCAACAGCCCTAGTTTGAAATCTCGCGGTGTCCTGCGGTGGCAGTATTAAGGGTGGTGTGTCATTCGTAAAGGGTTTGCTGCTACTAAGGAGCTCGGCTTGTTTGAATTCTTCATCGGTGATAAAGTTGGGGGACGAAATTCCTAGAAAGGCATGAAATACATACGTTGTTAGAAATCTGGTAAAGTCAGGCAGGTATTGATTTCTTAGTATTAAGGTTGCTACCGCTTGGTATTAAAATTATACCGCGGCCCAAAAAAATTTGCTAGTGATATGGTAAAATTTTAATAAGGAGCTGTTACTATAAGGTATTAATTATCAATACAACTTTGGTATATAGAGTCATACGTAAACACCGCTTCATATTACTTTAAAACTGTATTTCTAAGAGTGGGGTATTTTTAATCCAAGGAAAATTAAGGCTATATTAGAATTTTGTTAATAATTTTTTAGCGTTTCTTACATACCGTTTGTAATGCAACTCATCCCGAGAAGTAGAAATGCCCCAGTTAAAAGTGTTTTGATTTCCATTTTTTTTAACTCGGCAGGTTTATTGACGGAGAATGGAAGATAATAAAAGTAGTACATTTTGGCGTCCCATTTATATTGGTGCAAACGGACATATTTATTTGTTATATGGAATCATTGTGTATTCATAAAATGATAAATTGCATCAATGACCATCTGGCAATCGTACATAGTTGTACTTTGAAGAAATCGTTTTATTATTGTAAATACATTTTGATCTATGCATGTAAATATTTTTATGTACCGAATAGTATTCCAATTTTGAAAAATACTTAGACAGAAATATGTAAATCAGCATATGGACTATATTTACTTAACAACAAAGTAATTGCATTTTCCTGGTAGACGAATAATGGACCGAATATCATTTTGATTTATAACCTTTCATTTTATTCGTTTATGGACTCATTTAGTTAAATACTTTGTTATTTGCAGATACCAAATACTGTCACCACGAAAATAGTTAAGCATTTGAAACCACACGTTTGCAAGGTAGAAAAACCTGTTGGGATAAAAGAGCACGTGTTTTGTTTTCTATAATTTATTGATAAATAAAATTTTCCATGATACAGTGATGTTTAAACTTATTTATGAAACACGTCAATGTCGCGTACATTTAACTAACAACGTTTTGGGATGGCTTATAAATTAATACATAATTGATATAATTTTCATACTTTATTCTACATACTCGGACCAGGTATTCCCGTACAAGCATTTCTGGTGATAAATCCCAAAGTATTAGAGCTGGTCGAAATTTTTATGGATGAACAAGGTATTAATATTGTTTAGAAATCATAACTTCTTTTCCAAGATTTCGTCCACCGACTTGTATGCAAGACATAAGTCGTTGTAGAGATCGGTCGATCGTGGCACGCGGCCATATTCTTGGAAAAAGTAGTTCAGACTTTCCACCGTTGGAGAAAAATTTAATAGAAAAAGGGACAGATATTTGCTCTACGGAAGTCGGACATCCCCTTAAGTATGCGGAAGTCAATTAGAAGTCACCAACATGGTTAGAATGGAGCGAGTTGGCTGGAAAAAGCAAATCTCTGTTTTTTCCGCAAAGAGTAACAGTTCGAGCCAAGAAATATTTTTGGAGTGTCCTGGAGCCAATCATTAAACCCCTGAACACTGACACCTCGGGAAATAAACATTCGACCATCCAACAAGATCTTGCTCCTGCTCACGGTGCAAAAATTGTCCAAAAATCGTTTTGGACGAATTTTCATGACTTTATTTCATCGCAAGAACGGTCCTCAGCACCTGCGGACCTGAATTCCCAAAATTATGACTGGTGGTCAAAATAATAGATGTAAGTATGTTCTAAATCTCAGGAAAGCGTGGAAGGCCTGAGGTCGTACTTACTGAAGATCTGGTCGCTTTTCCCATGAAAACCGCGCGTGCCGCGAGCGATCAGTCTCCACCACGACTTATGTCTTGCGTACAAGTCGGTGGACGAAATCTTGGAAAAGAAGTTATGATTTGTAAACAATATTAATACCTTGTTCATCCATAAAAATTTCGACCAGATAGCTCTAATACTTTGGGATTTATCACCAGAAATGCTTGTACGGGAATACCTGGTCCGAGTATGTAGAAGAGATTGCATTCAGAGTTGGGTTTTGAGTCAGAAGAGGTGTGCATGACGTCATTAGGGTAAGTGTACGTATGAAATTAAAATGGTTGTATGTTAAGATGCATGTTCAAAATTATTAAATATTTAGCAAAAAGCGTATTATGTATGAGTTAATTGCACATTTTACTTAATGTTCCAAAAAAAAGAACATTTGAACAATACAATTTTCATTAAACATGCTCATAAAACGTTCCATGTAAATATTTACTGATTATTTGCCCAAGTTATAGGACTGGTACATACATACATAACAACTTTATTGAAGAATAAATTCTGTAATTAACTAATAATTATTAGTTAATTATTAGTTAAGATTTTACATACCTACATTATTTAAATAATGTAGGTATGTAAAATCTTGAAACATTTGACTTTAACTGACACATTGGATGACCAGACCATCAATCTTATTAAATGTAAATCATACATACATACGCAAGATTTGATTGTATCGAAACGCAGTATGTAAATACATATTTACAATTTTTCTTTTAACTCATCATTGCACATTTTCATATTTAAATATTCAACAAAATAATTACCTATTAAACATTTTTCTTATCGTGTTCATCAAATCGTTGGATGTCACCATTCTCTACATTTCCATCCTTATTCAACATGTCAAATTCTTCCCTTACGTAGTCTGCAACTTTCACTAAATCCTCCCGTTTATGAAACACGACCCTACTTCCGGTCAGTTGGACGGTAAGTTTCCCATTATAACTTGTCGTCGTAACGACGAAGTGATGTCCCCCAGGTTGCAAACCTGGGTAAAGTATCCCCGTTTCTGCCACGTGACCCAGTAACTTCATCGGCTCCCCGACAAATACCACGTTTGAATGGATGCAACTCGCAACATGTGGCATGCGCGTGCTGGACGTTCCGAAAGTCCCGTACATCAAGCCCACCAGGCTGGTCGCGGCCATCATTCCGAGTGAAAGGGGGGAAAAGAGGATGCGGTCAAATTGGTCAGAAATCCTGGCAAGACGGGCAGCCTGAGATGGTTCCGGGGTCATGGGGGCAATAAGGGGCATGGCAAAACTGTTGGGCAGACACACAATTGCATTATGTAATTTACATATCATAAGTTCATATTAAGTGGTGTACACGAATCCGAGTCAGATTCGGCTATAGTCGAATCCCAAATTGCTGGATTTCGACTCGAATTTGAGATAAGCGAATCCTCACGAACAGGAATTCGGATTCGAGTGCATTTACCAGCCTACTCCTGTTTTTTGGCTATAAAGTCTCGCGGTAAAAAGGTTTCCACCTGGCCCAAACAGTTCGCACCCACTTCCATTCAAAACCCTATGTCTAAAGTTTTAAGTTGCCATAAGCTTTGAATGGAATTGGGTGCGAACTGTATGGGCCAGGTGGAAACCTTTTTACCGCGAGATTTTACAGCAAATAAAATAAGAGTATGTATGGCCTCCTTAATTAGAACCGTACATATGCACGAATCAGAGTCCGATTCGAATTCGAGTTTCAACTCCCGAGTGTGATTCGAAATACAAATCTTTGTTTTCGAGGATTAACTAATTTCGAACTCGAATGTGAATCCTTCATTTTGGGGCTCGACTCAGACCGAATCTGGATTCATGCGGACCACTAATTGTCACGTGTAATAAAATTGTACAAAATGTGGCGCATGAAGATATGTGCTTACCTGTTGTTCGTCATTGTTCCTGGATGGTTCATTTTTGGCAGGACGTACATCGTTGATAAGTCCCCGTCCGAATTACTCCCCTTTTCCAGTAGCAACCTCCGGATCGCTCCTGTCACGCCGGCGTGAATTATGGAGGTCACCTTGACCCCAGTCTTTTTCGAGATGTCTTTAAGCACCGAAAGGTCAACCCGTGTGGCGGCATGGGTCACACCAGAATTAATATTCACCGTCTTCTTATCTTTAATTGGTACGACCTCGGAATTCAACCCTTTCAGATAGTAGTACAAGGTTTGACTCGGCGTGATAAAAAGTAGTTCACCCAAGTAGCAAAACTTCTTCCATGGAGAAAGCGTCAATTTTGTTCGTAGAGTTTTTAGAATTTTTTCAATTTCCGTTCCCAACGTGGGACTTGGATCGAATAAATCTCGGATTAGCGCCATGTACGCCAACCCGTCGCCGAGAAGGTGATGAAACCTTAACACAATGGCGGATGATGTGCCGAACTCGGGGTGGGCGTAGTTTCGGAAATAGATAAACTCCCAGAGCGGATTTTCTAGTGGGTATCCTTTTTCGATTAGGTTTATCAGCAGGTCGGATATTTTGTCAGGATCGGATTCATCGTTTTGTGTGACGTGATTCGAAAGAGAGAAATTTTGGCAGGTTTTCCAGAAATAGACCGACATCCAGCGGGTCAGTGTAGAGGTGAGTTCAGGACGCTGTTAAACATGCCAAAATCAAATTATGTAATTAAATAATGCGTTACAACCTCTCACCTAAGCAACCTAAGCATAAACATCAATTTGAAAATATGTATTGGGTTAAAAATTAAAAAATGCTCTGCATAAACATTCCCCCACACGAACCCCTCGAATTTATAGTCCGATTCAGAGCCTGTTTTTGAGGATTCATCCATCAGACCAATCTCGAATCCGGATTCTTGATAGTTATAAATTTTATCGTGCAAATGTATATGCTTTATTTTGCAAATTATACATACATATATTCGCAGACTAAATAAGTTAATGCATACATACATACATATGTGACTAAAAAAATATTTGACGCGTGTAATACGCCTAGCGAACCCTTAATTTCTTTTAATCGTACCCCATCCAAGGCTTTTTCCACTCTTCGCACCACATCGGCAAAGGCGGGTCGTCCCTTCAAGTAAATGACGCCACAACACGAGTTCCTTGGTCGACCATGGATGTCGTCGCAGACGACGAGAAAGTCGTTCAAACTTAACGGGGCTTGAAACAATGCTTGGAAAATGGGGGCGAAAAATATGACAATCCTTCTGTACATGTAGAGAGGACAGACAAAAAGAACGAGGACAAATGGAAGGATAAATACGGACAAGAAAATTGATGACAAAATTAAGAACGCCTCTTTAAACACGATTTTAAATTTTAGTGACATCTTGGCACACAAACAGTTATAATTAAGTGATAGGGTTCTACTATCTGCACTAAATGATGGGCAAGAAGCAAATGATATTTGAGTATTTTGAATGCAATTTCCTACTAATTACGTACATATGTAATTCAGTGTATTTATCTGTATATTCAGTCGATAGATACTTTTTATGAGCGATTTGTCTGTCCGTCGGCACGCTGCATACATACATACAGGGACATACATACCAGTAAATATTTAATTTTTAAACTATATACTCCAAAATTTTTGGTTCGGGATTTTGATTTTTATAACAAAATACAGTTCGTTCATCGCCCTCACAGGTCAAAAGGTCAAAGCATTATGTTATACGTCATAATGGGCACTTCGGTTCGGCACCTTCGTCATATCTGCTGCGAAGTAAGGATATTTCGTACTAAATAGACATCGAGAAATGCATTAGTTGTATATTGCTTACCCGAAATTTGTGGTACCCAGACACACCTAGATATATGTATTTATGTATCTATTAGATGCATACATACATACGTGTTTTAAGGTTAAAAATTAAATTGAGGATAAGTAGATGATTAATTACATAAGTGCATATTTATGCACAAAGAAGCCGTACGTAAGGAATGTGTTCCATTGTCTGAGAGCCATGATACCTACATACATACATACATGCATACCTCCTGTTATAATCAAGATACATATGTACGTAGTAGAAAGATAGAACCCCATCTTCCTCGAATCGACCACACGCATCTTTCATGCACGGTCCCCAAATGGTTCATAATAAATTTAAGATTGAGTAAGGGTAAGGAAGGTCATTGCCAGGGTGTCTCCAAAATCATTAACAAGTAGACCGCGAATGTAACCCAGGGATGAAAGAATTGACCTCGTTCACAGGGTCACTGGTTATGGGAATATTTATTTATTTCATTTTCGATTTTTAAGATCTTAACGCATTACGTGACTGAATTTATAGCTGCTATTGTATAGAAATGAAGAAATTGAACTGCGCAAAAATCCAAGTCCATGGAACCCTGACAATGCACTGGACATGAATGAATTCTACATGCATATGTATGTGGACAAACTATATATTACTCCATTCTAAAAGTATTTATCGAATATTATATAAAATTAAGTTGGGCCAACTTTTATTAATGAAAGGCCACTTTTTGAAGCTATGATTATTAAATTAAGTAACTGCGCTTTGGTATGGAATGACACTATGTATAAAGTGCAACGAAAATGACCAAATTAACAGATTGGATAATCATGTATGTATGTACATACGTACATACATACATATACACACGTATTTATATATATGTATAAATTGTGTACCTCTTAAGGTAATAGATCATGCATAATAATACATATATAGCTGTGTTATAGTTGGAGATTTGGTAACTATATAAATCTCCTGACATTCACGACAAAAAAAGTTCAAAACATGATCCAGCTATAACTAGAAAATTTGGATACAATTAAATATATTATTAAATATGTATGTTCCTGCCTCGTCGCAGAATATTTGATTCATAATTTGAGATCGTTTCATTCATAAATATTAAACATGATTATGTACCAAATCCGGATTGCCATAGTCATGCAAATTAGAAATTATAATTGCATCGGAAAGGTATGTTACAAGCGTTACTAAAATTTCACAATATCAAATTTCCATAAGAAAACCTTGTCAAATATTGGGAGCCTAATAATATGTAATTAGTTCTGTCTGAGGGAATTAATTTTATATTGAGCGGATTCACGTCAACTTTCGCACATCTCACAAATTAAACATAGCAACACACTTTTCGAAAATATGTACATAAGTATTGCAAAATTTGCGAGATTTCACAAAAAATTTTCCCAGTAAATGGACATTTTATTTCACAAATTATGACTAAAACTCGTCCTCACCATCACTAGCCATAAAAATTACTGAAATCCGTGGAAACAACATCAAAACATGTTTTTAGAAGTAGTTTTGCGAGATTTGCGAATTAATATTTTCCGAATTTCCTTACGACACGAACTTTTAGACCGTCACAAATTTGCCATTAAATGTGTTTCGATGCCAAATACATACATTGGACGTTGTCGTGAGTATGTTCATTGAAAACGCACTTAAATATTCTTACATACATAAATATATACTTATGCTAATTCTAATTTAACAATATCCACGAGTTGTGATTCATTCAAAATTTTAAAAAAATGGTGACAGATGTTTCGAACAGTGCCCGGTTTATTTTAATGCAAGTAGTTGCGAAATCATGACCCATATAAATACCACGTCCCTGCAAATTATGTCGTTCCACTTTAATCCGCCAAAAAATTTGAAGAAACACAAACATCCATAAATAAAATAGCGAGGAAAATGCAATTTCTGCTAACTCTTCTCGTCATTGCGTGTGCCGTCGTTTTGGCGATGGCGATGCCAAATCCGTCCTGGGAGTTGCAACCGAACGGAGACTTTGGATATTCCATGGGCGGAGGTTCCTACCTGGGGACAGATGGGTCGTATAATGTTTGGGGGAAAAAGTAGATTTTCAGTAAATCAGGTAATTAATTTGGCAAAATTGTTGCTAATTATCTATGATTTCTTGTAGGGTTATCAACAACCACATATTTATTGGCTTGTTAATATTTAGATGGTGACCTGATGTAAATTCCAAGTATCAACTTTAAAATTAAATTTAAATCAAATGTTAAATTTTAAATTGTAAATTTTATTGATAAAACTGATCTGAAATAATTATAAAGCAAAATGCAATGATGCTGTAACTGACTTGTTTCAAAATTTTTGTAGTATACATATTCGTTTTTTCATATTTGCATGAATATTGGACTTAAAAGTTCAAATACCAATTCTTAATTAAATACATATAGCAGAAAAGTTCAAATATTTAATTAAATACATGCAATTAACTAATTTATCTTGAGCATTTTGTTCAATTGTCCCATTCCAAGGATCCCACCTTACACCTCGTCCCCATGGTTTCCCAAAATTTCAAATTCTTCCCTTATATAGTCTGAAATCTTGCGTAAATCAGCCCTCTCGGGAAAGATGGCCCTACTTCCAGTCAGTTGAATACCAAGTTTCCCATTGTAACTTGTCGTCGCGAGACAGAGGTGCTGCCCGCCAGCTTGCAAACCCGAGTAAATAATTCCAATTTCTGCCACGTGACCAAACAGCTTCATCGGCTCCCCGACAAATGCGAAGTTGGAATGGATGAAACTCGCGACCGGCGGCCATGGCCAGGTCGTCAGGCCGAAGGTGTCGTTGATCAAGCCTGTCAAGTCAGCCAAACTCATCATACCGAGAAAGAGGGGGGAAACTAGGAGGTGGTCGAATTGTTTGGAAATTCTGGCAAGTCGGGCAGCCTGGGATGGTTCTGGGGTCATCGGGGAAATTAGCGGCATCCCAAAACTGGACATAAATTTGTAAATTATTAGATTAAGAAGTATGATAAGAAATAAAATTTCAATTTATGTGTGTATTCAGGTGTGAAAAATTGCAAAACTTGGGCATCTAAAATCGGCTTTAAAACCGCTTAGCAACCGGCTTACGATTTAACTAAATACCATTTTTACACCGTTTAGAAAAATCGGTTTGATAAAAAGAATATTTTAATTTTGTCCTAAAAACCGGTTTATACTCACTCGCAAACCGCTTTTCTATTTTTAATAGTACAAACTGTATCGGAGGAGCTAATACTTATTTCTTATTGCTCAGATAAGAATTAATTGTTGTGAAATCCTTTATTCTCATCTCAAGCTTATTTTTGATTGTAATTTTGTTTTAAATTTTACCCTACTACGTACATACAACCGGAATAATCGAAAGCTAGTTTTTCGAAAAATTGCTAACATAAGACAAACCGATGTAGATCTATTCAGGTAGGTCTATTCAGGAATGTAGGTCTATTCAGGAACATGGGCAAAAATATGCAACACACGACGATACATACGAATTGTTCGTCATTGATCCTGGATGGTTCGTCTTGGGGAGGACGTAAATCGTGGATAAATCCCCATCTGCTCGGCCCCCCCTTTCCAGTATCATCCTTCGCATCGCACCCGTCACGCCGGCATGAATAATCGAGGTCACCTTGACCCCAGTCTTTTTCGAGATGCTTTTCAACACCGAAATATCCAGCAATGTCGAGACATGTGTCACACCAGGGATGGACGCCGTGTATTTCGTCTTGCTTCTCGGCATCGGTATCATTTGAGAAGTGATCCCTTTCAGATAATAGTACACGGCTTGGCTCGGCGTGACAAAAATTAGTTTGGTCACGTAACACAATTTCTGCCATGGAGAAAGCGAAAATCTGACTCGTAATGTTTTTAAAATTTTGTCCATTTCCTCGTCCACTGTGGGATTTTGATCGCACAAATCGCGCATTAGCGCCATGTACGCGATAGCATCGCCGAGAGTGTGATGAAATCTGAGCAAGATGGCGGACATGGTGCCGTACTCGGAATGTGCGTAGTTTGGGAAGTAGATTAGCTCCCAGAGAGGATTTTCTGGCGGGTATCCTTGGTCGATAAGGCCTACTGCAAATTCCGAAAATTTGTCCGGGTCGGATATATCATTTTGGGAGAAATGATTTGAGAGGGAGAAATCTTCACATTTTTTCCAAAAGTACACGGACATCCAGCGGGCTAAAGAACACGAGAGTTCGGGACGCTGTTGAGAAAATAAGGCAGTTAAATAATTAAGCACAACCAATTCACGTAGTCCTTGATAACTTTATAAAATCCGGAAACTTTTGCGAATATTTCCGAGAAAAGTTTTTGCAAGGTTACTTCAACCAATTTATAGATTTTATAAAGTTACGAAGAACTAGTCGCAGTCTTACTAACTTTTTAAAATTCTGCAACGAATTGTAAAAATCAGAAAATTATTGGATATTTTCCCAAATTGTCCCCTAAGACATAAGTACTTTGTTTTTATTTCGCAAGCTATTTGTTCAATTAACATTGACTTGAATGCCCCTAGTCTAAAATCTTAGTTGCATAATTTTAGTCGAACCCTTAATCAATTTTCAACATACCCCTTCCACCAATTTTTCCACTCTGCCCACCACATCGGCAAAGGCAGGTCTTCCCTTCAAGTAAAAGACGCCACAACACGAATTCCTAGGTCGGCCGTGGTAGTCATCCCAGACGACGATACAGTCATTCAAACTTAAGGGAGTGTACAACCATGGCTTGAAATGCGCGGCGAAAAATATGACAATTTTTCGATAAACGTAACGAGGACAGACAAAAAGTACGAGGAAAAATGGGAGGATGAATATGGAGAAGAAAATCGATGCTAAAATTAAGATAATATCTTTTACAAAGATTTTAAATTTTTGTGACATTTTTAAAATATTTAGTTACACTTGGTACGAGATTTATTTATGCATGAAAAAATATTTTTTGTAAATTCCCGATATTTGCAAGGAATGGTCTGAAGGACAAATGGGAAATGAACACGTATTTGTTTGACGCGATTTCTTAAGTATGCATTGCAAAGGGTGATAAAAAAATAAGTATTGCAAAAGCTGGAGCATTCCGCAACAAATTTTACTATATTGCTTGACTTTAGGTCAATGAAATTTACGTGAGGCCAAACATAAAAGGTAGGGTGTATTTTCTCCTAATTTTAAGCATTACCTCGATGCGGCATGCATAACACGTATGTAATACTTAATTATAACGTCTATGTTATAATTAAGATGGGAAGCATTGGATATCTAAACTAAAACTATATTAGTGACATTTGCTATGCACGGTCCCTTAATCCTGGACTGTTGTTGACTTTTTACGAGCCTATGCGTGTGTATATCATAAATATTTTTAAATTTATGTGTGCAATAAGTCGCTTTATCATCAAATACTGGAAATTCAAGAAGCAATTATACATAGGTACAACAAGCCGTGTTGCAAATGAATAAGTCGCAATTTTGTATAACATCAAGGAATCCGTGAATCTGTAAACCGCATAAATCCGGTTTAACAATGTGAGTGTTCGAATCCAGACTTGACTTTAAATTTGCGGATTGGTTCGAATCCGCAAAAATCGGGGCTCGGGTTCGAGATTCTGTAACAGTGTTAATGTATCCGAAATGGCATGGGCTTGAGCATGTGAATCAATTCTGCTGTCAGATTTATGACTATCAAGGAATATTGTCAACTATATCGAGGAATCTTGATTTTTTTCAAATTTTGATACTACGTACTTAACAGCTCAAATCTGCTAAATACGTTTGTACATTTTGCACTAATTCTTAAAACGAGAAAGATGCGACTTTGTAAAAATCTGAAAGTGGAACCCTGGCAATGCACATTTGACTGAGAAATTTGACCGAGAAACTATGTATGCATGTGAATAATGCGTGTCTGTTTAAGTACGTAAATAAATAGATCGCTTGTTCAGTCCATGTGTACCATTGATATTGCTACATAAATGCAGACTTTGTTGCTGCAATATTTTATATATGTACTTGAATTTGCATACCTTGCTCCATCCATGGCCTTGCTCTTTGCTCACATTTTTAGTGCGGATCCTGGTTTTGCATAAAAGTATGTGGGTATGTATTTTCTACGGGACATGACTAAAGTAAGGTTTACAGGTCACTAACTTGCACGGAGTGAAATTGTTGTGAAAATTTCACCGCAACAACAAAATGAAACTTGAATGAAATTTGCGAGAAATGGGCTAATTTCACGCAAATTCTAAAACTCAATTTACAGGTCATTTCTTTAAAATCTTACATTATTGGTTCCTTATTTAGTAACCATGACCATTTTAAAGGTAATTTATTCGAATTTGAAAATTTATCTTACTTTCTTTGAACGGTGTCATATTTGTTGTTATGTCGACAATATACAATATGACCAATAACCAGAATTTTCACGTGAAATAATGTGCAAACATTTCACGGCAATTTCATCCAGTTTGAGTGAAAATTTCACTTGAGTGAAAATTACGCGTTGTTTTCACCATTGACGTGAGAACTATTTTGTGAAATTTGCATGAAATTTTCACGCGGAGGCGATTTCACGTGAAAAACATGACCTGTAAACCGGCCTTAACTTGAAAAATGTATGTATAAATTAGTTAGAAATGAATTAATAAATACGCTGTTAAAAACCTAGTAGAGTCACGTATTTATGTATGTATATATAAACTCTGCACTGGTATTGGTTTGGTAATAACTTCCTTGGGTAGTAGTTTTTTTCCAAGTGGCAAATTTGTCCGGTAATGCCCGTTATTACAAGTGCCGGTAGAGTCATACTCGGGTAGTAATGAGATAATACCAATTTATTAAGAGTTACTTGTATCCAAAATTCACAGCAATAAACCCCATGTGTAGAGTCGAATCACCCAGGTTTTCTGTATCATATGTGTACATACATATTTATCTACTAGTATTCGTTGAAGATTCATTGTGTGTATGCAATTTCACTTTGCTATCTCCCTCCCATGCAATTCTTGGTAGAGAAAATAAAAATGAGATAGAACCTCTGAGACGAATTTAAGTAAGTTTTTTTTATGAAAACAGTCAGGTTTATTTATCTCATGGACTAAATATTGTATTGCTGTCTATTTAGTGAACTGGAATTATTAAACTTGCGATTAGTAATAACAAAATCAATAACACCTACAAGCCCGTAATAAACAGACCTATGCATATGTTGGTAAAGAAACATGTGCATGTCAATATTAAATAGATTCATATATTTGTATATGCATAAATATATATTTGCATACATACAATGCAAAAAGGATAAAATTATTAATAAGTATAAATCTTTAAAATTAACGGTATGGAAATTTTCGTGGAGCGTCGATGTCAACCTTCGAATATGTATATATCTGGCAAATCGAGTAGAAACATAACTAGTTAACATATACTAGAAATTTGCGAAATTTGCTGGAAAAACTGAATTTTTTTCGCAAATTTTTACCGACCAGCTGGTCATGTTTCTATTTCGCAAAATTATTTTGCCGACTCATCTTCTCTGAATTCAGTAGAAATTGCAAATAATTCACGGAACCCTAATTAAAATAGGGTAACACAGTTATATGTACAGATTTGCGAAATTTGCGAATCCCCTCACGACACAAATTTTTTCAGCTTCGCAAGTTTGCTAAATGCGACATTGTCTCATCCTCCCTCAGTCTCATTTCTCGTCCTACCTTTTTATACGCATTTTCCTATGTACATAAATAGCTTGACAATAGTGAAATATTGAGACAAAAAGTCGTCTCACTTTTACCAAATTGAGAATGTTGAAGTGGTGGTGAACACCAGCTGACGGAGCACGAGAAATAAAATATGAAGACAAAATTTTAGCAAATTTAAAATTGACTTGCCAAAATTTGAAATTAAAATAATAATTTTTTAACTAAATATCGTAACATTTTAGTAACTTGAAATACAGTCATTTGTCAAACATTTAAATATTACTAAACTCGATAAATGACAAAGTAAACAAAGAAAACAAGGTAAATAAATATTTCCACAATTTCTCTTCTGCAATTAAGCTACAATTAAAGTTTGGTTAAATCTAACAATTTTTATATATATTTGACTAGTTTATTAATTGTGGGGTCATGTCGATGTATAAGCGTCTCGTCAAAAAGTGGGATACAGACGAAGGTGAGAAAAAATATGTTGCAAAGAATATTTACTGCACTTAATTTGTAATTACTGACATAATTTACATATAATTACAGTTGAGCTAATTGTTGAATAACAGTTAATGTTTAATGATTACTTTAAATTTTGTACAGGGCAATTTTTATACCGGTGTGACAAATGTGCCTCCCTTTTTCAAACTAAATCCCTCGCCGTAATTCATATCTGGGCTGCTGATCACCACGCAGAGTAATTTAATTTATTTAATTGGGAACAATTTATGTACATATGTGTATTAATTAATGACATGTTTGCTTTAAAGTGACACTAATTCTGCCGGATGGACAGCCATTCCTAATCCCAAAGCAGTAAAGAAGGACAAATTGCCAGATGTAGTGGACTTAACAGAAAAAGATGACGATAATAATGATGTTCATCAACAATCAGAGATTCACAAACTGCAAGAGGCCAAGAAAAACAATGATAAACTGCAGGAGGCCAAGAAAAACAATGATAAACTGCAAGGGCTCAAGAAAAACAATGATAAACTGCAAGGGGTCAAGAAAAACAATGATAAACTGCAAGGGGTCAAGAACAACAATGATAAACTGCAAGGGGTCAAGAAAAAGAATGATAAAGTGCAAATAGTCAAGCACGACAAACCGCAAGAGGTCAAGAATGACGAACTGCAAGAGGTCAACCGTGACGAAAATCCTGCTGAAAAAGTCATGAATTGTAAATTGTCAGATGATTCCGAGGTCGCGGAATCCGAAGGCCCTATTCCTGCTAAAAAGTTTGCAAATTCACTATTCGTTCCGGTCAAGATGAACACGGAGTTTGGGTTTGAGTTTGAAGATGTCAATATTCTCGAGGAAGGTCAATCACAACCTGGTAAGAATTTGTGTTTATTTTAATGTATTACATATTTGGTGGTCAAAATAAATATTGCGATTTGCAATTTTTCTAGAAATATTGCAAAATAGTGATTCATGTGAGTCAATGGCTCAGAGTAATGGCGACAATAGTACATCAATAGTGCGTCATAGCGACAAACCCCACCGAGAGGAACCTGCCGTTAAACTGGGGGAAATTCTTGGAAGATTTTCCAGCGTTGCTGCCGTTGTCATCCCCATGAAAAAATTGCGCACCAATATAAACAAACCAGATAATAAACAATTACCATCGAGATATATTTGCGAAAATTGTGGGAAAGGATTCACAATATCGTTTATATTTGAAGGACACATTAAAACTTGCGGGTATGCTGAACAGTTAAAATTCGTTTAAATAAGTTAACGCGTACCCTTTGCAGATTAGTTGTCAAATTTAATTAAGAAATTGTTATAAACCCTTGAAAAGTGTAAATCAAATAATAATTTTGCACAAATCACGTGAAATGCTGTAAAATGTATTGAATGCAATTTCCTCCGAGATTTTTTAAGGTTATGATGTGCACTATTTTGTAACTTTTTTGCACAGTTTATAAAAAAATAATGTGAGATACGAGTCAGAAAATTATGTTCCACAAATTTTCATACAGTAGTGTGATGTCGTCACTTTTTCTACATTTTAGTAATTTTTATTACCAAATTGTGTAAAATAGTTGATCATATATCATATTATTAATCTGAGTGTGAATATCGCCTTATTTTATGTTATCTATTTTTTAAACCCAGGGTTGAAATTTCTAAGCAGGCGGAAGTCAATATCCCCCCAGAGTTTTTTAAGGCTTGTCCCATCTGTGGAAAAGCGTTTCACTCCCATTCGACCTGGAGCATGCATAGGAGTTCTTGCGTGTAAGTTTATCCAGTTGGTTTGAATTTTAAAAAGATTATTCTCCTTATCCTTAGTTGATCGTAAAAAAAAGTTTTCACGGTTACGAGATTTTGCAAGCTCGTCTCGTAAGACTTTGTAATCGAAAATCATGTTACAAGGATTACGATTTTTACGAAGCTTGACCCCTTGTTTTATCTTCGTAAACTATTTTACGATACTAAGGATACGTAGATAATAGTTATGAACGCCTTCAGAATTAAAATGTGGTGTGTTTGCTTTTTTTTTAGATTTACGCCCAAGGACTGGAATACGACGTGTCCCATCCCCACGTGTCGCAAGACGTGCAGCACTCTGTTATTTTTAAGGAGTCATATGGAAACTGTTCACAGCCATGCCGCGGGCGACCAGATTCAGTGCGCCATTTGCGAAAAGAAATTTAATTTGAGGAAAGCTTTTTATGTCCACTTGGGAAGAAAACATGGCGAAAATAAGAAGACAGGAAAACGAAACACGGACGAGTAATTTAAATCGACTATGTAATTCATCTGTCCTTCGTATATCGAACTGTAAAAGTACTGGAGTGGGTGGGGGGGGGGGAGGGGGTGAAATGCCCGGATACCCTCTGATCTATCCACTACAGAAGAAGAGTTGGAAACGGAAGTTGAGGACACTCCAGAATTTGAAAATGGTCAAAAGAAAGGTAGAATTTTTGGCATACAGCCAGCGTCAAAACCGTGAAAGTTGAAGGTGAAGATCTCAATAATTATATAATAATGTGTTCAAAAATGTACGTAATTATTTTTTATTCGCTACTGGGAAATAAATAAGCTATAAATAAATATACAATTTTTCACATAATCATGTGTACTAAATGTTTATACACTTGTACATAAGACAGTTTTGACATGGAACACGGTTTTTACATATAAATTATTACCCAACATTTGGGTATGCAGTTAAAGTTTGAAAGTCATTTCATAGCAATTTTCACGCCATGATTTTCTACTCGTAAAAATTTGTCACAATACGTCAATTAATTAAATATAATTTATGAGTATCATGACGTGTACTAATTATAAAAGTAGTTAAATCATATCCATATATACACATTTGAACACTTAATCAGCATTGGTACATATTAATTTAAATATTGAGGCAATTCACGAAGTCCTTGATCACTTTTTAAAATCCGTAAACTAACCAACTTTTACGAATCTGTGCTTCCAAGGAAAATTAGCTTACAAATTTTTGTATATAAACCTACGTAGATTAAGGGCGTCTATATATTTTGCAAAAATTATTTCACATAACTTACGGGTTTTACGAAGTTACAAAGGAATGTGTGAATTGCCTCATTGAACAAATTTCTAGAAATATGACTTCTCCGCTACCTGAGCTGGATCATTGATGTCAATGCCTAAATCATTTCTCCCACTTTTTTCGACATACGTTCGTAGCACAAATTTCGCCAGGCATTTTCGAAACGACGCACTTTTAAACATATTTGTCACTTCGGCTACGTGCGACCTTAAGAAACGGCTCGGAAGACCCAGTCTCTTCCTTATATTGGGACAATCCACGTCAAAAACGTTTTCCAAACCGAGCAGCATCATTTGTTCGACGCGGAACATTTTGTCGCCATCTTTTCCAAATGAAGCGCGAATGAATCCCTGTGTTCATAAATAGGAAATAATTATTGGCAGGTTTTATAAAAACATCAGTTTTATTAAAACATTATCTTTCAAGATTTTTTTTGACAAACTCGAAATTTTGTTAAAAATAAATAGCTTGAAAAGTTTTCAAAAAGTAAATTAGTTCACTCAATACTTGTTTCTTTTTCCTGAGACTAACATGATTTTGACATGTTAGAAAGAAGTGCATCATATGGAAAATTCGTGCATCATTAAAAAAGTTCATGCAAGTCATCAAAATGCATAATTCAATTTTGACTTGCAAATTCATACGAAACATGTATGAAAAATTCAAAATTATAATTCACTTTCAGCCTAACAAATGCTAAAATTTCAGTTCATGTTCAAAATATTTATCATTATCAAAATTCGAGCATCGTGAGAAAACTATAGATGTAACTAAAATTCAAAAGCTTCCTCATAGGTCAAAATTCAATAAAATTTTCACCCACCGTGTACAGCCCCTCCATAAAATTTTTCCCATCCGCATCCCTATGAAATAACGCAGGGAGCATATACTCATCATAATATTCCCGATAATATCTCCTCAATTCGTCCAAACTAGGCTGTAACGCAATGTTATAGTGATCCTCAATTCCCACTGCGAAACCCAGCACGGCCCACAAGTGATTAAACCCATCCAACTCTTCCTCCTTTGCGTCATGAATTCCGATCCGTTTCGGAATCACGTTGTACAATCCGCCCAAAAAGAATTGCGTGTTGCTAAACGACAACTGATTCAGGATCGGAACAACGCCATCTTTCGGCGGTAATAGGTCTGCAAATGACCAAAATCTATTTTTGTCGGGAATTTTGGACGCTTCCAGATCCGCCGAAACGGCGGCCCACATGTCTTCCCTGAAACTAAAGTCTGTCTCCTTGGCTTTCGCGGCGGCATTATTTTTCTGCAGGGCGGCCCACGTGTAATTTCGCGCCAACGAGAAATGAATGCCTTGGACTCGAACGAGCGACTCTATCACGTGGTGTAGCGCGTCGCCTTCTTGTTCGTAGTATAGCTTGACGTGTAGGATGGTCGATAAGAAGCGGCGATTCGCATTTTCCATCGTTCTGGATTTGCCGCTAACTTTAAGAAAGGGTTTGATCAGGGGGTGATTCGTGAATAGGGGAAGCGCCGTAATTTGCGTGATGAGGACGCTGAGGAAGTGTTTTTGGGCGTATTTTTGCCCAATCCGGAACAACGTGGCGTTGTACCAGGGTGGAAAGAGGGAGTTTGTGGGGGGTACGAGGGGGCGATAGAGGCCGGAATTTATGAGAGAAACTGGTAGCGCACAGGATGGTGGAGTTTGGCCTCGAATAACACTGAAACAATTTTGAAAATTTAGCTTTTGTCAAAATTTCATATATGCTTTTTTGACAATATTTAAAATTCCTTACTCTTTCGATCCGAGCTCTCGGACGATGCATCTTTGGCCGGACACTGATACGAAAAATAGGACGTGAAGAAAAATGAAAACTAGGCACGATTTTTGAAACTTCATGACAAATGACGTTTCGAAGTTAATGGCACATCGAAGCAAGTTTGTTTAATAATGAGCCGTAAAATGGTCGTGATCTTTCTTTCATGAGGAAAAGTTAAACTATTAATTGCCATCTATGACAAAAATCTATGTGCAGGTAACACAGGTATTCCAATTTAGATACGTAAAGGCGTCGGAATGATATTTAGTAGCGTGCGATTCACCCTTTTCCAAGTATTTGACTAATTTAGTAAACCAGTTTCATTTCTTAAAGTGCACTTATGTATTGGTATTTATGGAGAGAGACAACTTTATTAAGTGAAGGGATGAACCAGGTAGAGTAATAGAGTAAATGTATAGTAAATAGTAATTAAAGTGTTTTCTTCATGTGTATGAAGACACAACTGTTGCTAATTCCTGATTTTTTGCAATTATTCGCATCATGGCATGGCATGGAACCAGTTTTCGTACTTATGAATATCGCTCACATTCAGCGAAAATTTATTTGCACTGGTACATACATATGTGCACACATATGACAATAGTTACATTGTCTAGTTGGAATCGGATTTTATTGTCTGACCTGTGCACGCGTAAATATTTTACGAGGAAGATGACCAAGGTTCAGAGAAGAGATTCAACATGAATGTAAATTGTATATTGCATACTTGACTTAATAAATCATATCACTTGCTTCTTGAATAGTCACTTCTCAACTGCATTGCGTCACCATTCCATGCCGTCACTGTTCATGCACAAAATATTCAGACATATGAATTACAAATTACGATGTACATATGTATGTGTGTGCATGTACATAAATATGTAAATAAGTAAATTTGCGAGTAAAGAACTTGATCTTACTGTCTAGTCTCGAGTAATAGGAACACGTGCGAGCATGTGTCTATACATTCATCCTAAACTTATTTATTTTTCTCAGTAAAAATGTCACCTCATGCTTTTATCAGTTTAAAAATATTATCTTTCGTCGTATTCTTGATATTTTACGAATTTCATTTTGTGTCTTTAATTGAAGTTGAAGAAGAACTACGACTTACGGAAGACGAGCACAACAAGCTGGAAATGGTACGCACACTATGTACACTCTTATTAGAAATCAAGTATTACAATACAATAATACCACGCGGTATTCATTTACATATGACTCTACCAACGTGGTATTGGTAACTCATACCGTGCAGTAATAGCTCGGTATTAAAGTTTAAGCATATCAGTAGCAAGTTTTTACAGACCGGTATTATTTTAATACCAAGCGATAGCAACTTTACGTATGTAATGCTAAGAAATCAATACCAGATTTCTAACAGTGTAATTATAAATATGACACACATACACACATAATTTTAAATGCAAATATTTACTTTTCTAGCTAAAAATGAGAGTTGGTCGTATTCGGGCACAAGACTGGCTTAAAACTGATCTCGCCCTTCTACGATGGTTACGATGTGAGAAGTAAATGAATTAATTGTTCTGAAATATTAAACAATTCACGCACTTATTGGTAACTTTGTAAAGTTTTGTAAAATACTTTTGCATACAAATTTTTACAAAATAAAGAGACGCTTTGACTTGATCTGAGTAAGTTTACAAAAAATTTGTATAAGCTGTTCCATTTGACATATTCGCAAAAGTTTGTAAAAGTTTACATAATTTACGGATTTTACAAGGTTACCAAGGACTGCATGAATTGCATCAATAAATAAATGCTTAATATTAACTTTACTCTTTCACATAGTTAGCAGGCTAAACGTAGCAGCAGCTGAAACCGCTTTCAAGGATGTATGTAATGTCAATTTCATTTACATAATAATCAGAAACAATAATCAATATCCTCACTAACAAATCTACATGGTTTTCAGAACCTAAAATGGAGGAAGATTAATAAAATAGATTCCATCTTACGTGAAGATTGGTCTTATTGGGAACGCGAATATTATTTTGATTGTAGTGCGACCGACTATACTGGAAGGCCAGGTATGGATAAAATTCGTACTGCAAAAATTTCGCAAAATTTAATTTATGACCACCCCAGTTTGTACGGGAGACATGTCCACGTGGGATATCCGTCAAGCCATCGTATCCGGAAAGGGGGACGAATTGTTCCGGTACATGATAAAAACCATTGAGGACGGATACTCACGTGTTCGAACAGCACAAGCGATGGGATTGAACGTGACACAATCGGTCACAATTTTGAATATGAACAATTTCAATCTCGTTCAGCATGGATGCGTGCAATGTGAGCATTACATAAAAAATTTGGATTAAGATACACTCTTAGAAATACAGTATTAAACTAATACCAAGCAGTATTAAGTTATGACTCTACCAAAGTGGAATGTATAAATAATATTGTGTAGTACTAGCCCGCTATTGAAGTTCTTCCATACTGGTAGCAAATTTTTACAGACCACTTAATTGTCACACCAAGGGTAGCAACTTTAATACCTAGAAATCAATACCTGCCTGACTATACCAGATTTCTAAGAGTGTATTAATAATTATCATTATTTTACCCTTTTTCGCCAGGTGTGGCTCTGTTCGGAAGATTTATTACGGCACATGACAAATATTATCCGTATGGAACGCATAAAGTAATCGTAATTAATGGTATGTAAATATGGTCTTGTATTACAGGTTCAGTTAGCTATGAAAAATTTCACAAAGTTTTAATTATCTATTTCAAAGCTCCCCGAGTGTTCGAAGTCGTCCTCAATATTGTGAAACCCTTGATGAGTAAAGATAGAAGAGATGCGATTTTTGTTTTTGGAACGAACGAGGCCGAGTGGAAGGCGGACTTACTTTCGAATATTCCAGAAAACGAACTAACTCCGAATTTTGGAGGGACAAAGATAATATGATTAAACGTAAATATGTAAAGTAAATTTATTTATGGAAATATATCGACTTCCTTTTGTATACAAATTATTTACAAATTCAACAAACGGCATAAGGTTTTATATTGGTTTAGTGGAATCTCCAACTTCAATAAATCCTACCTCTCGCACCATCTTAATTGAGCATTTGGAAAACCGAATTAAAAATGTATTTTATGCTTCTCTTCGTAAAAAATTCAAAATTCAAATTTGTCATCAGATAAATATTTGTATTAAGGATTCTATTTCCTTTCGACTTTATTTATGCAAGGGAAACCAAGCCAAAAGTATAATAAATCCTGTTTCCATATTGAGCGAGAAAGTGAGAAAAACTCGGATTCTGGTGGGTATCCACCACCATCACGCGACAGTGCCGTATCCGTCTTACTTTCTCTTTCACACTCTATAAACATTGCATGTAAAACCATGCAGGATTAATTAAATTTTTGCTTATCAAAATCGTTTAATTTTTTGTCATTCTTAATTCACATATGTTTTAATTTCGGACGATAAGGATAAACGAAATTTGCTTATCTGAAAAATTGATAAGCATAAAGATAAGCCCCGTAGCGTTAATTTTCGATTAGATATCGTCATTATAAATCCAGAACAGCTTAGTTTTGGGGCTATTTGAATAAGCGGAATTTGCTTATCTGAAAAATTGATAAGTACAGTGACAAGCCCCTTGGCACTAATTTTCTACTGGATATTATTCTTATTAATTCTGATAAGCTCAAGTTTTTAATTTGGGGCGATTATATAGTTAAAATAGGGCAAATTTTAAGTTCGGTAATTAGTGGCGAGAGTTTGCTACGGCTCTTGCGATATAAGATGTGACTGTCTCCATGAAAAGGGACCTTATTCACCAAATATCTACTTTAGCGACTTTGATTTATTATGAAAGTTCTTGCCTCAGGCTTTAATTTGCCATTTATTTTAGCTCAATCTGTTAACTACAAGTAAAGTTATTTAAATTCGAAGTGCTGTATGGACAATATGGCAAAACGACCTTTTGGCGAAAATTTTTATATTGATTAAATTTAGAACACTGTTTTAAAATTTAGTATTGTAGCTCATATGGCGATAATAATAGATTTGCATAGGCCAATACAAGCCGGAATGACCTTACGTTTTAAATTTGAGGTTTATCGCCCCAGGTTAAGTGTCTAGTTCACGTTAAGGTCCTCAAAAAGGTCAAGGCGCAAATTTCATTATTTTATTAGGTAAAGCAAACCTGTACAACCTTAAGTTTTAAATTTGAAGTGGAATGCTTAACATTAATATTTATTTCGCCAATTCAGCTTTTTGACGAAATGGGTTTCGCTGAAAGTTTTCTGTTTTGGTATTTTGCCGCTTGTGGAAAATGAGCAAAGTATGAATAAGGTCCCTTTTCATGGAGACAGCCACAGATGGCCCCCATAGCAACTTTGACCCCAAAAATCTCATTGTTCCAGTCATTTTGCTTCGGACAATAAAAGCTGAAAATGTAGCTCTTCTATGGTAGAAAAATCTGGCATCAGGTTGTCAGTCGCAAAATGACTGGAACAATGAGTTTTTTAATGATTTATGTGTAGGTAAAAAAAGCGCCAATTTTCGAATTTAGAAACTTTTAATGCGTCAAAATGTTCGTATTCATGGGGGAATCCAAATTGCAAATGCAAGTTGAGGTCTAATTATTTTTTTATCGAGTGTACATTGACTTTCTCAATTTTCCCAATTATTTACCCCAATTTTTGAAGGGGGAGTGGTTGCATATAATTTGAAAATAGTTATGCTACATTGACCCTTCAACCAAAAGTTAAATTCACAATTTTTTATACAAAATTCTGTGAGATCGATGCGACGGGGATACTTGCTTTTGGCTCGGCCAGCCTCTGGCACAGAACAATATTTTTCATTCATTTAACGCGAACTCATTACGACGTACACACATACATATTTGAGCTTATTGGCAGCATTAAATAATGTCTACATACATAATCCTGACAAATGACTATGTCAAACATGGAATTGTACAAGGAATGAAGGATTTACCATTCTTAATGGGATAATTATCTTGACATTACGTTTTAAAATAGATAAGTGATTAAGTCATTACCCTCGAACCGGAATCAGTAATTATGGGGCCATTAAAATATTACGTCCCTAGTATATACATACATACAAATACATAGATAAATAAATATGTCGGATCATTAGAAATAGCTGCTACTGATGGACACCTGTCGTCCCATTTTACATGTATTTATGTAAGTATTTACATGTGAAAACACTTCGAGAATAGACAGACTGAAAGAATTGATAACATAGTACAGCAACGATCCATACGCATCAGTTCATTCGTGCTTCGTTATTTACCGACTTGGCAATTTTATTTGCCAATTCTCGGTAAATCATTGTTGCATAATTTTCTGGTTTCATTAACACGATGTATTCAATAAGGATTACATACATACTTTCAAGCCTCATGGAATTACTTTTAGTCAATTTTAAAGGAATTTGTTTACTTTATACATGATTTCTGCAATGGGGAACGAATTAGTGTCAAATACCAGTAAAGGGTTACACCAATGGGAGGATATTTTCGCAATATTCTTATATTTCATTGTCGTTGTAGGGGCCGGATTTTGGGTGAGAACACAAATACTTTTTTTTTCAAAATTACAAATGTATTTAGATAATTTGGTAACCAATTTACATACTCTACAAAATTCGCGAATCGAATGATGCATAGAAAGGTGTAATTTCGCGGAAACGTGTGTGACCAATTTTGTACCCATGTGCACATGGTCATCGATTCTCCAAAAATAGTTTTAGCAAAACTAAAATTTTCTAAGAGACAGATCTGTAGTGTAACTGATAAGAGTTTAAGTCGGAAATTAAGTCACAAATTTTCGCTTCAAGGAAGAACAATTGTTACCGGTTGATAACATGAATTACGCGTTAGGCACTCGTAATTTTTGTACGATTTTGGTACATTCATATTTACCGTACCGGGACCGATTGCATTACATAAATACATTTTAATTTTCATATGCACAGATGTCATCAAAAAAGAAAAACAGCTCCGCCCTTGATTTTTTTCTCGCGTCAAAAAATATGCACTGGATTCCAGTCGGAGCTTCCGTTTTCGCCACGAATATCGGGAGTGGAAACTTTGTCGGATTAGCGGGATCCGGTGCAGCAAGTGGGATTGGAGTTGCAAGTTTTGAGTTGAACGTTAGCCGCAAAAATTTAAAATTTTAACAATCTATAATCTGTATGCAATTACATACAATCTTATTTTGATTTTAGGCAATATTTGTCCTAATTTTACTGGCATGGGTATTTATCCCTGTTTACATGGCTGCTGAAGTGAACACGATGCCGGAGTACTTAACGAAACGCTTTGGAGGGGATCGGATTCGGATTTGTATCGCAGTTTTGTCCTTGCTCTTGTACATTTTCACCAAAATAGCGGTAAAATTGTTACATAATTTTGTAAAATTTAGGATTACGTACATAGTAACATGGATATAAAATTTTATTTTGTATGATTCTTGAAATGAGTTCGCATGTTCGCATTGCAAAATAATTTTGAACAGATTTGCAAACTAAATACGTTCGCAAATGAATTATAAAGTCAATTTTGTTTGCAAACTTTTTTAACCATGCGAACTTAAACACAATTTTAAATAAAAATTTGACGCTTATTTCTAACAGGCTGACCTATACGCGGGTGCCCTCTTTATTCAACTTGCCCTCGGCTATGACGGCGACCAAGGCGAATTCGTCTCCATTTTTATTCTGCTCCTGGTGGCGGCAGGATTTACGATTGCCGGAGGACTAAGCGCCCTCATGTGGGCAGATTTGGTGCAAACGGTCCTCATGGTCATTGGTGCTGTGGGACTTATGATATTATGTAATCTGGAAAATAAAGATATCAGTTACATACATATCTATGATCTGTTAGAAAATAACTATGCAATTTTTGCTAGCATTCCGAGCGGTTGGCGGATACAACGAGCTCGTACGAAAGTACGTAGCGGACGAGGCTAGCGGAAATGCGAGCACGTGCGGAGTCCTGCCTGGTTATTCGATGTACATAAGCCCTAATTTTGTATATGTAGCTAATAGCTATATGCAAATAATTGTGCAAAAACACTTTACCAACTTTGGGAATATGTAGAGATAATCCTCGACAGATAAGTAACTTTACCAACCTTAACTAAATACATACCTATATTCGGTAGGCATCTATTTCGCCCCATTCTTCCCGGCGAGTCGGATCTGCCCTGGACCGGGATGCTAACAGGGATGACAATTTCGTCAATATGGTTTTGGTGTGCAGATCAGGTACGTAAGTATAGAATACGAATGGGGAAGAGTTTAAGAGCATGCCAATTTTGATACAACATTATTATGGCGTCATCCGTGAATTAATTATGTAAAGGTTTACGCACAATCGCACGTGCTATATTTAAATTTCGATGGGTGTAACCATAATTGTTTGACATTGGAAAATACTAATTAGCAGAAATTAAATCGTTTACCCAGGTGACTGTACAAAGAGTACTAGCCGCCAAATCCCTCACTCATGCAAAAGCGGGATGTTTGTTTGCCGCCGTTTTGAAATTCCTGCCAATGTATCTCGTCGTATTTCCTGGGATGGCGGCCAGAATTTTGTACAAGAATACCGTTGCCTGCTCCACACCGGAAGTTTGTTCCAAAGTTTGTGGATCAAAGTCAGGATGCACGAATATTGCGTATCCTGAATTGGTCCTAAACCTCCTTCCAGTTGGTATGTTACATTTACGTAAATGCACGGTTAGAAATCTGGTATTGATTTATCGGTATTAAATTTGCTATCTTGTGGAAAAGTGTAATATCGAGCTATTGTTACGCGGTGAACACCTCTACTCTTGGGATTATTTTAATACCGGATTTATAATAGTGTATGCATTAAAGGTTGCAAAATCATGTGCAAAATTGATGTTAATTTGCTCCAGGATTAACCGGGACAATGGTGGCCGTAATGCTGGCAGCAATTTTATGCTCACTTACCTCAATTTTCAACTCTGCTTCGACAATTTTTACGATGGATATTTGGAGCAAAATTAGAAAACAGGCGTCCGACGTGGAACTACTTGTCGTTGGAAGGTTCCATGATTTGCAACATTTGCAAATTTTATAGTAGTAAATAAATTTCAGAAAACGAAGTAATTTTTGTGTCGCAGGGTAAGCATTGTCGTCCTTTTGGCAATATCGGTCGCCTGGGTGCCAATCTTGAGGGAGTTGAGGTCCGCCGAACTGTTCGTTTATGTCAACCAAGTCGCGAATTTCTTAGCACCGCCGATTACAGCAATATTTATGATGGCCATTCTCATACCGAGAACGACGGAAGAGGTACATTTAGTCAATTGTAAAATATTAAGATAGCTTTTCTTAAATAATTTATTATCGTAATGAGCAGTTCAAGTTTCTGAAAATTTTGTTATACGTTTTACATAGTTAATATTTGCGAGAATTATGATATTAAGTAATTACAAATTTTACAGGGTGCATTTTGGGGTTTAATGATCGGATTGTTCCTTGGCGTGGCTAGATTCGTACTCGAGTATTGCTTTCCAGCCCCACTTTGTTCACTCGGTAATAAATAAACCTAAGAAAAATTATCAAGTTGTTGTGAGAATGATAAAATTTATTCCGAATTAGGCTTGATCGATACCCGGGCCAGGTGGATAAAGTGGTTTGTAGACGATATTCACTATTTACACTATGGACTTCTCCTCTTTTTGGTGACATTTGCTATAACGCTGACAATCAGTTTGATATCGCAGCCTACACCTGCTACGGAGGTACATAAATTACATATTCACATAACCAATTAATATTATCGTAAGCTAATCTTCAAGTGCTATAAAATCTTTATTTTTTGACCATATTACTTTGACAGAGGAACTCTTTAGGAACAACATTTAGTTGCGCAGATGCGAAAAATCTAGGAAGTTCTGGGCCCCGCAAGTTCGCGAAAACGGTTCGGTTTTCTGCAAAGCAGATTCTGCTGGAAAATCTTCGCGAACTTGCGGCACCCGCAAGTATAAAACTTGCTGAACGTTTCATATCTAGGCAAGTGTTGCATTAAATTTTGTTTCCAAAGAGTTGCTCTCGTAAACTAATGCGGTCAAACAATGGTCTGAAAGTGGGTTGCGCCCCCATTGTTACGTACATAGATAGATATTTAGGGGCCGTCCATAAATTTCCTAACACAAACATCGCGATTTTCTAAACCCCCCTCCCCCCACAATTAACATGTGTAACATAGGCACGATATCATTAGACGATATCATTAGGAGCATTAGTCCCCCCTCTTGCCTTACGTAATTTATGGTCAGCCCCTTACGTATAACATACGGCAAGTGAGATTGGCATTTTTTTTAAATTTGCTGATTTTACCAGTAGCGTAACTATAGATTCGGGGCCGGTATGTGAGCTGGATGTGGGGGGCCTAAATCTAAATTAACTATTACAAGTGGGAGCCAATTTTTTCTGAAGTTTATCGCAACACTGTAACTCTCTTATTTAATGTATATCAGTATTCTGGCACCATAAGTTCTCGTGAAAGCATTTCTGCTGATAATTCACAAAGTATGAGATATATTTGTTAGAAACTTTTATGGATGAACAAGGCACTAATATTGTTTAGAAATCATAACTCGTTTTTCAAGATTTCGTTCTCGGGCTTGTACGCAAGATATACATAAGTCGTGGCGGAGACTGCTCGATCGTGGTACGGCATTTTTATATATAGTTTTAGAGCATTTTAAATGATTTGATGCAAAAATTAATGTAACTCAGTTTAAATTTAAACCTGGATATTTTTGCAAATGGTACAGTGTGCCGACGGGTCATGCTCCATTGCACTGTGTGGATGTATGTATTTTACAGGCTCTTCTACCTTATTAAACAAAATGTTCTCCATGCTGAACAGAGATCGGAAAATTAGCGATATCTGGATTAAGCATTGAGATTAAGGATTAAACGCTAAATCATTGGATTCAGATTGAGGACTAAGAATTACTTTTTAAAATTTTAAGATTAATGACTAGGATTGAATTTATGCTGGATTAGATTTGTATCGGATTGAATATATTCAAAGACAACTACTCGATATATCGAGTAGTTCTCGTGGATTAGGAGAACAGTTCACATGCAATATTCGATTGCTAATGATTAAGAATTATTATACCCTCACCAAATATTTTTTTGAAGTAAAAATGATAGATATATGTAGAAACACAAAATTGTAATCTTACTCCGTACTATTTTTAATGCAAACATTTAACAATTGATTTGGAAGACCATTCACATTTCCTTCGAGGTCACACCAATGCTTAAAATTTCGCATCGAGGATACCATGCTACAAGTATGTTTTGCAAAATTTTTCCCAGTATTTTGAAATTATGCTAAAAGATGGGCGACAAATGAAATCAATTTCAAACAAGGAGGAATCTCAACAGAACTTAGATTTTCATCTTTTCAGTCCATGCAAACATCTTAATCCCACTGCTGGATTACAATTTATGGAGTTGGGCTAACGATCAACTAATAAGCGTTAAAATTATAAAATTTGGGATTAGAGATGGAAATTAAGAATTAATTATCAAATCCCCAGTCCTAAACGCAATTCGTAATCCTGGATTGACAAGCCTTCAATGATAAAAGCCTGCAACGCGGGCAGCGGAGACTAGTTATTAGAATAATTGTGGACCACAATTTGTGGTGATTAATCATTCAACATCAGCCAACGAATATCCATTTGGACTGTGCATCTGCTTTTTTTACTCCTGCACCACTTGCGGCAGGTTGAGATAGGCCGACGGGGCTTATAAAAGTGGTTCACAAATGCGAGCTAAACAATTCGTATGAAAATATTCATGACTGAATGATTGAGATCTTGGCGCTTAAGATCTGTCTTAGAATCAGTTCTGTATCTTATAGCCTGTATATAAATGTTTTTTGGGTCAACCAGGATGCATAAACTTTTTTATTGTCCGTAGTTTCTCCTAGGGGGTGATGCCAGGATGAAAATTGTTATTCAGAAATTAAGAGTTGGGGAATTTTTGCACTTTTGCCATGACAACCACTCAAATCCATTTAAAAATTGCTTGCAATTCCCCAACTTTTAATTTCTTAATAAAGATTTTCATCCTGGCATCACCCCCTAGGAGAAACTACGGACAACAAAAAAGTTTATGCACCCTGTGCGTCAAATAGAAACACCTTGCAAAATGTGCAAGAAATAACAACAAATTTAGATTTGCCAGTATATAAATTTCTTCGACTACTGAATTATTTGTGTTTTTAAATACTTTATTCGCCAATGAAAAATATCCAATAATATATACACACAAGCGTCCGACGGCCGGGGGCCGTCTCATCTTGGGGGCCGATATGTGGCACCTCCCCCACCTACCCCTATTTACGCCAGTGGATTTTACCTACTGCCGTTTGCTATTATCTCCTTTGTCTTATTTGTTCTTAGGTGAAGGAAAAGTAACCATAAAGTGATCATGTTAAAAGATCACCATGGTTACGGCGAAGCCTAAGTATGCATTCAGCTGCAACTTTCAAAAGGTCCCACTGAGATTTAGCATGAACCGTTTGTTGCATGAAAAACATGTTGAAACAAAATAGTTAGAGAATTCTGTTTTACAGATACGTTTATTCGATTTTTTCAAAAATTCTACTTCCTTCTGGTACAAAGTCCGATGCCTAAAATTTCAAATCCATTTCTTGGCATCAAGGTAGCGTTTCCGACCGGGGGCTTGCCATTTTTACTATTCTCCTGGATAATACGCACATTTTCAGCCTTTGCTCGACTTAGTCGGATGAAAACTCAAGGAATTAGAGCTTTTTGAAATATTTCCATTAAGCAACTTATTTACGTATGTATATACGTGTTGGGTTACTGGTTGCTAACGTATGCTAATAGTTTATTTACCATCGCTATTCAATACTCAACATAACCAATGTTGCTAGACAATCGAATTACGCTATTATTAGATCGCTAAGTGTCGAGGAATGTTGCAACAGAATAATCCTTAAAATTCTGAAACTGGGGAATTAAATTTGTATGACACGCATCCACCCAGAGGAGAATTAACAACGTTTAAGATTTGTTAATTATGATTATATGCATTGAAGTTCACAAATCACTAAAAATAATTAAATAAATAAATTTTAAAAAACAAACTTAGGTGAAGGACGCGCTTAAAATATTAAAACAAGTTGCGTTAAAAATGTCATAATATTGTTTAATATTTATTCATTTTTTCTTCACCGTGGGCCCAACTAACACAGCAGAATAATATACTTTCAAGCATTTGGAACAATTGTACGAAATACGTAATTTTTGTATTTAATAAACTTTGAATTTGATTCTAAGCTATCTTTCAATACATAGCGACACTTCTTATAGATGAAATTTTATCATGTTCCGGCGTATTTTAATAACTCCCCTGTAACGCTGCACTTAATATTTAATCAAGTCTTTGGTTTAGTTACATTTATTGTTAATTATCATTGCTTTGAAAATTTAATAGTTGGGCCCACGGCGAAGTAAAAATTAATAAATATTAAACGATATTATGACATTTCTTAACGCAACTTGTTTTAATATTTTAAGCGCGTCCTTCACCTAAGTTTGTTTTTTAAAATTTATTTATTTTTAGCTTATCAAATTAACTTTTTGGACGAGGCATAACGTCAATACTTCTGAACAACCGGAAGTGCAGGAGGACAAAGACGCAATAATCGAAACTGAGTTGGAAAAGAGGTTAGCTTTTTGAACCATTGCTAAAGGTTTAGATGATGGAATTGTAACCATAAATATGTTTACTTTCAGATTGACAAATTCCTGTGCTATTGTTCTGCTCGTCGCCACAGTTTCTATTTTCGTATATTATGCGTAGCGAGTATACTTTTGAAATACCTAGGGATTTGACAGCAAGGTTGTAGCCAATTTAATTTTTTGCCATGCTTCTTTGTTTTGCATTATCTACAGGGTGTTAATAAAGTCCGATCCCATTTTTCCTGTAAAAAAGTGAAGGCTAGTATAAAAAAAAACTACCCGTGATACTTACAAAAAATGTTCGACATATTTACCTTAGTATTTGGTCTTGTTACCATTTACTTTAACCATGCCCTCAACTCTTTGTTTAAGGCTCTGTGCTAATTTTTCCAATGTGCCTCTGGAAATCGAATTCCATACATCTTGAACTTTTTTTTACTAGCTCTTCCCTCGTCCGGGGTTGTGGCTCTTTGTATACATTTTCCTTAAGTATGGACCACTCGTTCTTCAGGGGATTCAAATCTGGGCCGTTAGCGGCCCACACCCCCTTGCTCCAGACCGTTGAAACTTGCGTCTTGATGAGACTCAAACTCGCTTTTGCTGTATGGGCTATAGCACCATCCTGCATGAAAACTATTTTTCTTTCATTCGGAAATATTTCCTTGTTCCCCATGCTATCGAAATAGATAGGTAATATTTTTTCCATATAATGCTTTGCATTGACTGATTTGCCTTTTGGTATGATATGTAGAGGGGTCACGCAACGTGCACAAAATCCACCCGCTACCATAACTTTAAGCCCGAATTTTGGGATCGCTCTTGATGGTACATCCGATTTGTTTTCTGTCCTGTAACGAACATTTTGTTGGTTCAATTTTGGATATAGTTCAATAATAGATTCGTCAGTCCAAAGGATGTGACTGCGCAATTCTTCACCAAGTCTTTTTTCACTCAAATGGGCACTTTTCTGAAGGAGTTCTTCAAATTTCAGACGGTCATCGATATATTTTTGTGACATGAGAGGTTTTTTTGGTTAGTTTGTAAGCTGTGTGACCCCACTTCGTAGTTTTCACAAATTTTTGCACGGTCACACAGTTAATTTGCTTCTTCTTCTCTTTATAGCGTTTTGAGTCATTTAACTCCCTTGCTCAATTACGTAATGAACTACCGGTTTTCTTGCAAAGTCTGTTTTTAATCATTCTTTTTGTGGTAGGTGACACCTTTCTGGGTCGCCCTGGTCGCTTTTTGTCGTGGACAAAATTTTTATTCTTCCATTTCCAAACAGTTCTGCGGCTGCAGCCCAATTTTTGCACAATTTCTGTAGGTTTAAGCCCCTGCTGATGCAATGTTTGTATCTCAACTCTAAGATGCTCATGACTTACACGTTTAGTTGTTCCTCCCATGGTAAAAATTTGAAATAAATAACTTCACTGGTTCAAAAGTTCCAGCTGAATTTGTAACAACCACGCTCCAAAAAATGCATGGGATCGGACTTTATTAACACCCTTTATATGTTTACTGTAAGTGAGACATCAGTAGATCTATATGGATCATGCAACGACTATGTATTTGCTAAGTAACAAATCTACAAATGAGGTATGTATGATGATGTTTGGACTGTACATTTGCCATTTTGTCATTAGTTTTTTTTTCACTTATTGAGTAGCTTCAGCTATGTACTTACTATCCTCTTACTTACTTTCTTAGACTTGGCACCTCGTTTGCATAAATTTCACTATGCCCATTTTCGGCGACACGGGCTTTCCATGTCCAATAAACGCAATTCTCTCGCAAATGCGTCGAAATATGCAAATGAGGTGACCAGCTATAAAAATTTGACAGTATTGCGATGACTTTGTCTGTCTGCAAGCATGATAACAGGAAAACCAATCGCAATAATCGACATCAGTTAGCAGCATCATACACTCATGCGACCTCAGGGGGAGGATACTATAAGCTTTTGGGGCTAACCGGACCACCCGCATTGGCGCAAGAGTGTGGTCTGAACAAAATGAAATTTTTACTGAAATTGAATTTATACAAGAAATACAGTAAAATTAAGTGTCCTCACGCTATAATAGACAGGGCTGGGGTGAAGGGAGACTGAAGCTACTTCCGTATGCCCATTTGCGACGGTTTATTAAACGAATAATTCCTACAAAGCCCATTGCCCGTAGAATTACAAATTAGCTTTCAGCATAATTTAACAATGTAAGTTACATTATGTAACAGATTATATTGTATATGTACATTACAAATTCCCAAATAATCATTTAAAGTTCGAAATATTATAACAGAAATTATTTGAGTATCTTCAACCTCTTGGTAATGAAGATTTTAAGTTTGTCACTTGCGTCTAAGATATGGGAACAGGCCATGAATTAATTTTTCTCCCGGTTAATATCGGCCTGAAAGAGAGGTGATGCGGGAATCTGAACGATAACCGTAGGGTGACAACACTAATTGCTGGACAGGGTATAATGAAACATATCTTCCTAGGGCAAGAGTAATGCGCATAGGAAAATAACATCAATATTTAGATGGCCATATGTATGAGTCTTATCTTTTATTGGCAAGCAATGTGGATGGATTTGACATTTGTAACTGGTACTAGTCCTGGGTCAATTTCACTAATTCGAACAGTATAGGTTTTTTGCGTCAAAATACACATTCCTACAGACATAATGACTTGTATCGTACTTGTAATGTAGGAGTACGTCAGGCATCTTTATGTAAATTGTTTACACTAATTGACTGCAACATAACCTTGCAGATTTCTTGATCTCTTCCTTTGATTAACTTCTCGGTGCATAGGGTAAAAATTTAAGTATCTCGACTATTAGATACGAAGCAATAACCGTTTTTCTCCGGTTGACAATTTCTAGCGCTCTATTGAATAATATGGATGACCTCGCCATCGGAAGCAGCCACATATTGTGTAGAATCCAATAAGGAACATTTTTTTGCGATTGTAGGATTTTAATTTAAGATTTGTTTGTAATGGGTCTAATTTCACAATCAACATAAATATAAATTACTCACGGTGTTTTCAGTGCAACAGGGTCTCGTGCACGTTGTATGTGTTGAGTCTTACGTATCATAAGTAGATATACCGTAATACCGAGGTGTGTTTGCGAAAATTAGACCGTTAAAATAAAATAAATTGGGACAACATTTTAAAGTACAAAGTTCTCATGAACTATAAGTGACTTACACATACATATCCTAAGTTGTATCCAGGCCAAATAGGAATGGAGTAAAAAATCCATCCTTCTGGTCCTCAAGGTTTCTCTATGTCTTAACCATGTATGGATTTCTGACCAAGTAGTTCTTAAAGACTTAATTACATGTAATGCATCTTATAATCAACGTTATTGAAAGTTCAAAGGAATCCGCATCCGGTAAGGCAAAATACAAATTTAATTTTTATATGGGCCCTCGCCAGTCGTAGGCTTGCCCATCCCTGATTCAGTACTACGCAACCACAACTATAGAAAAGCATTAGGTAGAAAAGTTCGAGTCCGACACCTCCAGAGGAGTCAGAATATTTTTTAGCACAATGTTCTGATAAGATGAAATACCTAAAGTTTCTTAATTTTTTTAGTTCTAGACCTTACCATTAGTTTATGATTGGATAAGACTCAAAAAGAGGTGTGACGTCAGTATTTGCTCAGTTTTAGTTTGTGGAACTTAGCTCCATTGTCTTGCTTTAATTTTAATAATCCACTTCAATTTTCCCAAAAACTCAAAATTCAATTTTTTACTGTTTGGTCATTTCAAAACGTTCAATTGTGTTTCTCCAAAGATGGGAGAACCTAAGTGTACAAAAATCAGTGCTATTCGTCTAAAAAGATAATTCTTCAGTAAACAAAAATATCACGTATTTAAAATGTAACCAGGGGTTTGCTTGTTTGCTTATGCATTTATATATTCAGCAAATGTTATATTCTAAAAGTCAGTAAATCAGTAAATTATCTTATAAAAGGAGGTGTGAGTTTGTATTATAAATAAGTTTTTCCATGATGGCTTGGGCGTAAAGAATACAAATTCTAAACGATATAATTCAGGTAATAATTTATGTTTATTTCAATAAAGCTAGTTGAACATTTTTAAGAGCTGGGAACTATCGCTGGCAGAATGGTTTTGCAAATTTTCATACTCCAAATATTCTAAAATCCTCCTGCTTTATTAAAGTTTAATCTTTGTTAAGTATCTTCGCCAATTTATCTGCCTCTTGGGTATTCGGGTGACATGCACCTTCGCTTGATTCACTGGTTGCAGAGAATTCACGGGAACTCGATCCACAACGCTCATTGACGGTTTTTGTAGTATTCGCTTTGCCCAGGTTATTCATAAAATATTCCTGACTCATGTTTGGCATCCATGGCAACGGATGTCTTTGTTCAATATTTTGCACCACGAATTGTCCGGAGTTTAAATTGTTCGAGATTGTAGGTGATCCTAGAATAACATTTACCTAAGATTGGAATCTTTACGACATAAACGACGACATCAACAAGCAATACGATGCTGTGAAATGTAACACTCCGATTTTGGGGACACTTTAAAATTATGTAGTACAAGTCAATACAACTATCGTTTCTTCATATAGTTTGGGCAGAGATTGAAAGTAATCAAAACTTTCGAGGTTCAAGGTGAAAAATGTAAAATTTTTACATTTTAAGCGAATGGAAATGGAGCTTGTTTGCGTAGCTTGGTAAGAATCTCTTACCAAGCGTCAGAATCAGCTTAAAAATCAGAGTTTTGTTTGATTTTGACCTCAAATGTTTTGACTAATTCAAACCATCGCTCAAACTTCGTGAAGAAATATTGGCATGCATTGAGTAGAACTTTAGAATTCCAAAATTTCAACCAAATATCGGAGTGTTGGAGCACTTCGAATCATTTCATTGTAAGTTACTTATGTAAATACCTTTACTACGCACGGGTCTTAATTCCGCTATACAGCAAGCTAACAGTCCCAAGATGAGAATTACACCCCCAAATACGACAAGAATTGTGAACATTATAAAATTATATCATCAGTGAAAGGCTGATTGTATTACAAGTATTTATATGCACTTAAGATTCGATTGGTCTGTCTAGTTAATAATTATTTTTGACTCACAATCTATTTTGTACCATCTGTGCACCGTTTAAAACCTGATTAGCTAATGATATCACTACGGAGAAATAGTATGATGAGGAAGTATTTGAAGAGTTGACGTCAAAATTTGTGTAACATATGTGTTTGTATGTATGAATCATAGAGATTATGTGTAAACTCATACATACGTATTTTTTAGCGATTTACTTTATTCCAAGTTTTGTATTGTGTAAATGTGATGGCGAGCATGAGTTGGTTTTTGTTGAATTTATTTTTTACGTGTTTGTCATATGTAGAAAAGTCATTTATTTGTAAAACATACTTCGCACATATGTATGTACATATGTATACACACATAAATATGGCTTTAGGTAAATATTCTTTTGTTAAAAAATGCTTTTTATGCATGCAAATTATTCAACAAGCTGGATGGAATTGAATATTTAAGTAATTTTAGTAATTTTAAGCGTGAGAGATGTGTTTAAATGGTTTTCAACCGTCAGGTTTGTCATTAATGTGGACGTAAATAATTTGTATGTGTTTATTTGTCATAACCAAATATCGGAGTACACTGAGAATAAAATGTAAGCAAACTGCTACTGGGCGGTGTCTATATATGACCTCACCGGTTTGATATCGATTTGCTACAAAATTGTAGTATATTTGCTACCACATTTTGACTAACCGTAACAGCGGGATAAGGAAATGCTACAATATGGTAGCAAATTTACTACAATTCTGTAGAAAATCGCTACCAAACCGGTGAGGTCATATATAGACACCGCCCAGTAGCAATTTGCTTACATTTTATTCTCAGTGTATGTTTTTGCGTCACTAAAAAACAGATTTTTGGTTATTTAAATTCGTACTTTATTAAATAAAAAAAACTTCAAAATCAATGTTCGGCTTCTAACTTATTTTAATCAAAAATATTTAGTGACATTAAAGTGTAATAATAATGCGTATCGTATCTGAAAAAATACTTCTTTAAATACACATGTCATACATACATATTTACATATGTACATACATACATACATACATAAGCATTTAAATATTTCTCTAGATAAGAAATTTTAATTTGACCAATCCTCATTTACTAAACAGAGTGCTTGAAATGCCCGATCTTTGTATTCATGTCATTACTATTTTATCTTCTTTTCAACTCTAAATTAGTCTGCATAATTTGTTATTAACAATCAACAATGCAATGCCGTTTCAGCACTAAATATTTATTTATGTCAGTATTTCCCTCTGGTTTTGAATTTAGTTCTCCACTGACGCACAAACTTACTAATGACAAAAAACTTTAATTCACATTCAAATTGGAATGCGCCTTATCATACGTATCAAGGAATGTGCAACTATGATGGGTTATCTCATTTACCCTTATTTTTTCACTGAAGAAAAATTAAAAAGTAAAAAAAAACTGAGCAACAATTAGCGAAAAATTGACCACTGTACATACATTTCAGAACAAAGTATGACGGAACTGATTCGATTATGAAATTTAAGATTATATTTCCCGTATTTGCACAAATGGTTTTCCTGATAGTGATTTTATTCGACATTCCTGAAGGTAAGCATGGGAAATATGTCATAAGGGCATTAACGAAATTATTGCAAAAAATTTGGTGGATAAAATTTGTTAAATTACCTAAAAAATAATGGACATCTTGAATTCCTAAAAGTTGGAATATTTTGTTGTCAAAAATGTACTGTTAAAATGCCTCCAATAACATTATCAACAAAAATTATTTGAAAAACTAACACCTTGATTGACATTAAAAGCTGAAATAACTACATTTTTTTTCTAGCGGCGTCAATACGAGTATTAACAAAACCCAAACCACCATGGATATGTTCAAAATTGCATAATCGACGCAAACGCCCACATCCAGGATCATGTCATAAATTCTTTGAGTGTCGAATCCGCTACTATAGAAAATTTTACATGAGAGAAGCCACCTGTGCGGGAAATCTAATTTTCGACGAATTTCAATCAGATTGTGTTCCACCAAAGAAGGTCCACCCTGAGTCCAAATGTGTGCCTCAACAATTAATCAAGACCAGGAAAGTTCAGTTCAAGCCTAAGCAATTTACGAAGATTATGAAACACATTACAAAGAAGCCTGAACTTATTATGAAACAAATTACAAAGAAGCCCGAACTTATTATGAAACCAATTACAAAGAAGCCCGAACTTATTTTAACTCCACCGATACTTCTAGCCGGACAAAACTCTATTTCAAAGAATGAAAAAGACTCAGAACCAGAGGATGAAGAGATTAACTTTGCCGCCGATTCAAACGGAGCTAGTTCTCGATCATTAGATATGGGGTATGATGATCCTCCTCAAGAGGCAAGCAAAACAGATGGGAATACAGAAACTTCCAATTTAACTGTTAAATAAGAGTGAATGACGCTCGTCTGATTTAGTTAATTAATTAGCACTTACAACACGGATGTCATTGCAGATGTCAATCGTGTGGAATTTAATCATTCATCGGACCGAAAATTGTCAAACGCCGAAAGCTTAAGCACTAAATCGCCAGGGACGAAAAATAATTCAATTACCACTGCAACATGGCGGGAAGCCGAGCATTCTTTATCTACAAGATCTTCTCAAGTATTTACACCAACCGAACCTAACACGACTCCGCAGAGAACTGTTGCCTCTACACAGAATCAAGCTAAGGAGGTTAAACTTGGCGGGAAGTTTGGTCGGGGCATGGTATTTAATCCCAATCGTGGCAATGAATTCCCACTTAGTTATAAATATACAACTTCTAACCCGCACACAAATATTCCCTCTGAGCTAAGTACCGTACAATGGGGCAACTTAACAACACCAAAACCTGTATATTTACTTCTAGGGTCGACTACTCTAGCTACAAATTACGATGGAGACCTTGCGTCCAACCAGAACTTAGTTAGGAATGGCTTCAATGATCAAACAATGTCAAATGGTGGCGGCAATAGAAATAATCTGAACACGAATACGAACGATCGAAACGTCAGCAACCACTTAAAAAATGACAATTCGAGTGACATAGAAGGCGCTAATACGGAGAACATAACCCATGTTGGCTTGACAGGAATAGAAGGTCAAGACAAAATTTCTAATAACAAAACTAAAGAAGCAAATAATGTGAGTAAAGGTTCAGTTGGAACAGTTGAAAATTCGACAAACATTCAGAATGGATCTGAGGGCACCAATAATGACAACGGTCAAGGAAGCTTAAAACTTTCTGGACATCATATGTCATTAGGAGACAGGGATAACAATAATGCGAGTAAATATGTCAACTCAAATGGATCACGCGAAGTGGAAAGTTCAACAGTTTCTCCTGAAGACGAACACAATCTTAAGGGTATGAAAGCCAGTCGACAATCTTCTGATTTGGAAATCGGTATGGAACCTGCAGAGACAAATCGCACTAAATTAGATGTCAATAGTAGAAATAATAGCAGATCCAAACCAACAAATGACCAGATCGGCCGAGACAATGGAATCGCAACGCTTGGGGTTAACGATGAACTCGCGACTAAAGGTTTAATACCAGCTGCTAACAGAAATAATACTACATCCGTTACAAATATAAATGAAACTATTTTTAATAACGACCTATCCCATCATGGTGGAAAAAATTATACAAACATTAACCAAAATGAATCTGGGAAGCGTTCTAATAATGTAAGCGTTCTTGAGACTGAAAGAGCTATTGGCGGGCCAGCAAATCAAACTGGTAATGGTACACTCAACAATGGAGGTACTCGGGACGATCCTGGTTCCTCTCAGAATACTCGTCATAACAATGATATAACCCAAACTGGTCAAGGGAACAGTTCATACACCGATGACGGCACAAGTGGGAGGAATATAACATTTAGTGGCGACAGAACTGAGACAAATAATGGTGTACCTGATGGAAACAATCGCTCCCTCATTCCCCACAACGCCGAGCAGGGAGATATTGCAAATTCTCCGACTAACATGGATAAACATTCATCCATCAGAAATGACGAAATTAATTCAACTTCCGCTGACAAACAAAATATTAAATCAAGCGAGAATGGCATCTCATTCAACATGGCTAATAACGAACCTGTAGCATTGTCCACAGGAGATGAAAGTGAAACGAACAGTACTGTGTCTTCAAATAATCGTCTCCAAGATAGTGTGAGCAGTGGAGCCATGACATGGAGAAATAATAGTGGAAAAGAAAGCAATGTTGCTTCCATAAACAGTATAACACACCAGTATAAGCACAGTATAAGCACACCTTTAAACTCCCCCGACTCCCATGGTATAATTTCTAACAGTGTGTCGAACTTAACAATTATTAGTACTTACTCAAACGCCACTAACGTCATGCTTGATAACACTACAAAGGAAGCCAGCGAGCATCAAGTTAACCAGGCTCAATCGTCCAACGGACAAATTGAGACTGAGACAGTTACTACATTATCCAGACACACAAACGAAAAATTGTTCATTACTGGAAGAGCTGGGAAGAATATTACTAATAACCCAGACTCAAAGCCAGCCCCGAGTAGTGGATCCGTCCAGAATGGAACTACATCTGATACTCTTTCTCATCGTAGACAAAATACTAGTGTGCTCGGCGCTAACACCACAGAACCATTAAAGGACCAGACTGACAATCGAACCGTAGATTTGGCCCCAGGAGTTATCATTAATGCAAACAATATTAAAAATTATTCTCTCAGTGGTGCAGCAAAAGTCAGTAGCAGTGCAGGAAATCAAGATCTTTCAAATTTTTCCAACGTTTCTCATAATTTAAGTTCAACTGATGGTTTTAACAAGAGCAGATCTTTCCGAAATGGGAACAGCAATGGTAGCGAATTTGAAATTGAAACTATTACGACAATAGAGAAGTACTCGACTGAGACATTCTTCACCAATGGAACTAGGAGAAATAACAATAATTTGATCTCCACAACCGAAAAGAATTCATTGATGATAAACGACAAAATCACGTCAAGGGGTAATAATCTTGCGAATTCGTCACAATTAAAAAACAAAACACCCTCAACAAGCAACAATGCCACAGTTTTGTCGGGGAATACAAATATTTCATTGCCAAAACCAAGCTCATTTTTAAATTCGTCCAATTCCACAGATCTTAAAAGTTCTGCAAATGTGAATGGTAGCGCGGGGATCGACACAAATAGAAAATCTACACAAGTTAATGGGACAGTAACAAATCCTCCCCGAGTCGATTCGGTTAACGATAATAATAAAGCAACATTCAATGATACGATTAAATTGTCTGCAAGTAATTCGACAATGTCCATTACAAACAATGCGCCAAGTAAGGGACGCACAATGACTCGTTTTGTCGACAAGTCCAAATCCTTTACAGACAAGGCTCCTACGAACAAAGTATCAAAGAAGAAAAAACGAAAGGAAACGAAACATGAAGAATCTGAGGAAGCAAGCTCAGAAGAAGGATCTGAAGGTAAGATTTCCATGATAATTTTTGATTTAATGAAATTTGAACTCGAAGATTTCACCTCGATTTTACAAATCTTTTACACTTACACTCATAGAGTCCTCAACTGAAGATGAGAAGCCTGCCAAACGTAAAAAGCCGGTTATCACAACTAAATTACCGATGAAGACTACAACCGAGCCGCCCATCCTTGCAGTGTTTGACAATGGCAAACTTTTGAGGGTCCATATTAAACCAGCAGGATATGCTAAGACAGATGCCGAAGTTCCAGGGTTTCAAGAATTGGGGTTATTTTAATATATTTTTAATCTTTTGCTCTCTGCCGGGTATATTAAAATATTTTGTAAGGTTTCGTTGACCTTTCACAATAATAAGAATTTGTTGCCACGTTTAACCTGAAAAAATCTTTGCAGGAAGGTGTTCATGCATATATTCATATATTTATTTAAAGTTTTCATGTATTTATTAATGGGAAATTTTACTGCCAATTTATTATTGACCATAATTTGTATCTAGACAACGACACATTATACGTTGTTTCCATGCTTAAATTGCCAGATTTCGCACCCTCTTGCGCAATTTATCGATATCGTTTGAGATGTCTACTTTCAATTCGAGATATTTATACTTTCCTTGGGCTTTTTTATCCATTTCATTAAGAGCTTCTTTACACTTGATGAGGATCTGAAAAAAATTAGTGATGTAGTGATGTTATTAGCACATGGATTTCATACTACGGATTGCTTTAAGGAATCAATAATCTAGCAAAAATGTATGCAAATCTGGAAGGGACAACATAATAATTTTCAGTTTGAGATTGCATACTTGTATACTTGCTGAATTAGCAATTAATTTCTACTACCGAGGCAACGAGCGAGGTGAGATTATCCAGAAGGGGTTGTGCCAGCTTTATGTCGTCTTTGAGATGTTGATCCACCTCAAAATACTTCTCCATTAGGAGATCGTCCTCTTGGCTACGTATAGAGTAGGTACGTTCCACAAATTCCTGAATATTTGACTGGTTTATCCCCGGTGAGAGCATGTATGCCGTCCAGCCAATTTCGGCCAAGGTATCTTCATGAATACGAATTTTTATCTGCAATCAAATGAAATTTTGTAGAAATAAATTAAAATCGTAAATTCGTAAACCATGAGGTATCAAGTTTGATGAACAAAGTCGCATCATTGATATTTAAATTCTGTTTATTTTTTTTAAATCGCTGAAATTTGTAGAAATATATTTGCGTCTCGTTCATGGAAACACTATTTAAGATAAATATTAATCTTAAGCATAAAATTCACATGGTCCATTTTACAATTATGAATGTATTAACTGCCCAAAAATGATTAGTTTTATGATTTTTTTTCACCTCAGCCTCCACTGATTCCTTCCGTTTATAACGTTCCACTAAATTATCCAGTGACACAACAACCTGTCCAAGTTTTTCGATCCCTTGTTCTAAAGTGATGGCACCGATTATCGCATCCGATAAGATTTCCGATGTTGTCGTTCCGAACTCTGGGGAAAATCTGATCCCCTATCCGTAGAGGACTGCCATCCTTTCCGGTAGCAAGAGTCCGGCCCATTGTTGCCTAAAACGTAGCAAGGACTTGACCCTTTTTGACCCGGACATTAGCCTCTGCATTATTTTGGCATGAATTGTGATGATTTCCAGGGTCACTTCGTGCAACTTGTAGTTCGATAACTCTTCCAGCTCTTGGCTTGTGGTTGAGATGAAGTTATGAGGCGGGATTTTATTATGTCTTAACATCTCTTCATGTTGGCTGGTCTGTATGCGGAGGCTGGTCACACGAGTTTGGATCGGGTTTAGACGAGACTTTACAAACTCTACGAATGGATCCCATTCTTGAAGGGTTATTATCTGAGAAAAAAATTAAGTTTCAAAATTTCCGTACGGATGGAAATAAATTTTATGTTATCCTCCAGAATCAATTATTCGTACGTTAAAAGATTAACCTGTTTCGTAAACAGGATTTTCTAAAATAGAATTTTTCTTGGGTACGAAACTGTTTTCATACATACAAAATTACACCTGATAAAAAGAAATTACAATTTGCAGGACGAATAAATATGTATTCCAATAAGTTTCCAATTTTTGAGTTTTTAAGAAAACGTAGACAATCAAATTTTCGATCGGATTTTTCCTGAAATTGATTTAAAAAATTGTTCTCAAACCTACCTTCTCTCCAGCAGCAATTATTCTCCTGATCATGTCACCATGTTCTTTTAGCTGGAGACTGATTGGTTTTTCCCATATTATGTCGTTGTAATAACTTAAGCCCCAGTTGAGGCAGAATACCAGGGTTACCAAACATAACAATGTTGCGATGTATAACCAAATTTTGTTTTTGGAATTTGCAATATTCGCAGAATCGATGTGGTCCACAGGTTTGCGGACACGGTTATTTTTTACACGACGGACGGTAGGCATGGTAATTTATATAAATAAAGTGAACTACATACGTACATATGTACTAATTAGGCAACTTAACCGAAACCGAGGTTAAAGTATACGTGCAAATTATAATGCTTGTTATATAGTTTGAGTTAAACAACAATGGTGCATTGTTTACTTTACGGCGAATTCATGTCACAAAAATGTGGGTTTTTATATTTATTCTCTTTCCGTGTTAACAAACATGGGAATAATACAATGCAATATAGCATATATTTGCATACATTTGTACATACGTATATGTACATATTTACATTTAAATGATGAGTTATTTGCAAATGATGTAGTAAAATTTAAGTTGTGATAATGGTTCTAACTATGATTTTATGAAACATTTAAAGGCTTGAAAGTTCAAAATTATGGGAGGGCAAAGCCAAAAATAAATATATATCACCGTTTAGGAGATAAATGTTAATTCAAAATTTATGCGGAAATGTAGTTTGTATAACATCGTTTAAGCATATAAAGCAATATATCTTATTTACTAACTACATACATAAATATATTATGTATGTATAATACTCGTACATATTTCCCGATATGTAGTTCATATAGGTCCCCGATCTCATATCATTCGCGCGCTTATAAAGTGGGACTCATTCCATAATTTCTAGGTCATCCAATTCCCGCATAAATGCACGTGTAATTTCTTCAGCTTGGCCACTGCGTGGGAGAAGGTTCTTATTTCCAAATACACAAATTCTCATTGTACCCCCGAACGTGATTAGTCCGAAGATTAGCCCTGTATATACAAAATATATACTTCATACATTACTTATGCAGAAGAAAGTATTTATATTTGGTACGCATGGTGCCTGTCAAATATGCAACATTACCTGAATTGATGGCGCCAAATCCATACATTAGAGACACGTTTTTCGACAAATACCCACAGAACTTGGGTATTTCCTCAGGGCCGACGATATTCCCGATAAAAATTCCCTCATTCCCCTTATGAAGTTCTTGAATTAGCTTTACAATGGGACGCGGGAGGCTGGCCAGCACATACGAGATTAGAGTTGATGTTACACAAAAGGTTGATTCCTTCATGGCCACGAAGGCTTCGTTAGTTTGAATTAGCCGCTTCCGAGCATCCACTTCTCCTACGGGGGCCGTGTACACGCCATGCATTCTGGGGTCAAAATAATACCTTTAGCGTTACCTGGGCTGATTAATAGCTCCTACTTACACATTGTTTCCGAGTAGTCGATCCCTTTTCCAGGGTGGTACAAGGGTTGTCTCCACTCTTACTGTTGCCGAAATTGGCGCCACGTCCGCGAAAACGGAACTGCGAATCGCACCCAAGATTGCCGAATGCATAACCGCCGTTCCGCTCACGCCATGGAGCGCCCCCAGCTGGCGAATTCTACCAAACGAGATGGGCTCACTGATGTGAAAACAGAGGTGAGAAGCGGCTTCGGAAGGTGAAAAGTTGTCGCCCAAAATTGACCAATTCTAAATGGCATACTTTATCTTCATATAAGTTTGTTCTGAATTATAGAATAAAATTCACCTTTTTATCTTGCACCAGGTCAGTACTTGACCCTTCGCGACACCCATGTACAAAATCGTATGGCATTCCCAAATACCTAAGTGGCGAAAGGTTCCCTCGCTTTTTAGAAACTTTCTTGTCTAATTGTACAGTTTGGGGTGATATCATCTTCTTAAGGAGGTAAAAGACACCAACGCCATCTACAAAGGTGTGGTGAAATCGAAACAAAACGACAGATGTGGGTGTTTCTGCGGAGTTGTGTTTCCTACGAGCTATCACAAGTTCCCACAAAGGGCCATTTACTTCGTAAGGTTGGAAGGTTAACTGGGTATGAAGATCAGTTAATTGAGCATCCGTCATGGCTGGAAGAAGTTACGTAATTGGCAAGAACTCATAAGTAATAAATTCCAATAATTCAATGCATTTCTCAAATCACCCTCAGAAATGATCCGTACTGGATCATCAATTATGGTGGCCTTAGCCCAAAATGGAAATCCCAAAAAATTCTTAATCGTCCATCCAAGTTCCGGATATAACAATTTGCCGTTGTCATTCTCCTCTGTTGCTTCAAGTATCTGGATTTTTAGTGTACCCCGGATGTGGGTTGGATCAACGTCCCCTTCCAATTCAAGGCTTGGGACCACCGTACTTACGGGACACATGTGGGTTCGGTTATACGCAAATCGGGCATCGCTCGGTGACAGCATCGCAATCAGATCAGGCCTGACCTAATTAGGAAACAATTAATTTTGTGTATTTCGACCATACAAATTTTTAAAATTTTTAAAATCTACCATAAGCCAAAAATCAATGTGGATATTCACTTCACTCAAAAATATTGCTTCGCAACACATCTTCATAACTTTGCGATGTTTGCGAAATCGGTTGAGCGACTAATTTTTCATGAAAGTGCATAAATAAGCTGAAAATGAGAAAATAATTTGATTGTCTTATTTTTCTTAAAAAAACTCAAAAAGATTCAATTAACGAAGAGTTTACGAAAAAAAATATTTATGACGGCCTTTTGCTTCGCGGATTTCGTACTTATGTATAAAAAATAAACCGTTGCAAACGAAATGTAGTAAAGGGGTGAAAACACACGGAATTGTCTTGGTGGCACGCCCACAAGGTCTTTCTGCACTTTCCCGTCATTGTCTCACATTACCCCACGTCTCATTTTGCCCCGCTTTGACACCCCCACCCGCGTACTTCAAACTTACACGACAATACCTTTCAATAGACACCCCACATGACAAAAGTCATTTTTTCGGCATTCGACACCTCCCACACAGTCATGGGGTCGTCGCACGTCGAAATGATGGCTATTTCTGAAATCCCCGCCCAAAAATACGTCTAAAACGGTGGCAACAAAAAATTCGCCAATTTTCGACTTTGGCGTCGTCTACACGGTCACACGGTCATCGCACGTCCAAATGATGGCGATTTCTGAAATCTCCGTCCCAAAATACGTCTAAAACGGTCGAAACGAAAAATTCGACAATTTTCGACTTTGGCGTCGTCACCGTGGCGCCGTGACCTTACGACCTACAACGCCCATCTTCGAACTCATCCCGTCCCCAAAAATTAGAAACACGTTGGCGAAAACCGGATGTCGAAATTCGAATCCGTTCTAAAGTTATCGTGGATACGGACAGACAGACGGACAGACAGACAGACGGACGGACAGACAGACAAGACATTTCCATAAAGGGGTTTTCACCCCTTAATAAAGGATTCTAATTGCTTATTGAGAAAATATGTTGCAAAGCGACTATGACGGCGCTTACGAAGTTGACGTGAATACCCATAATAGTGACTTTTGAATCTCCTTTATATTTTTGTGCACCATGTTAAGCATAAATTTAATTTAGTTTTTTTACAATCCCCTCCAACCAGGTAGGTAATATTCGTTGGAAACTTGGTCGAAATAGATGATGTTTTTTTAAATTGTTACTTCAAAAAAATTCGTAATTCGTCTGCGCAACTTATTTGTTGAAAGTTTGCGTATTTTAAATATTTATGATCTCCAAGAACCGCAGAGATGACTGATAACCAATTAACTTGTGTCTAATTAATTTATCTTTTTCCTACCAGCATGGCGATAAGTTTGACGGCGCACCGATAAATATGGAAGGGAAGCCAGGTCAAAATTAGGGGGATTACAAACAGCCACAACGGCAGGTAGAGAGCAATTAGTAAAGCTGAAGACTTGCTCATTTTGAATTAAATGCAGATCAAACATGATTCTGACAAAGACTGAAATCCACTTTGTAGAATAACAAAGTGAAAAATTAGTAGTTAGTAATATAATTTTTAAGTCATGTTACATTTGCGGAAATTTTTGCTATTGGTCATTTACAGTTGTTCCTGTAGCTGTCGACATATTGAAATATATGTACCTACTACATAATGAAATCATGTGTAAACTGTAGAATTTAGGACAATCAACATTTCTAGATACAAGTTACGCACATAATTGAATATATACGCAGACGAAATTTATGTACAGTATGACATACAGTGGTTACATATAACGAGTTCATAAGCTGTTTGTCAAGGGAAGAATGTTAATTAGTAGATCGTTGAGAATGTTACTCTTATTGACTGATTTCTATCAACTCGCATCTCCAGTGGACGTGGAAGTCGCAGGGACATCTGGAGACATTAACATTGTGGGATAGGGGAGGCAGGGGTTAATATAACATGAGCATTTGATGGGCACATCAAATAATTGTGCGGCGCACTGTCCTCAGGCTTCCGCGGCCATTATCTTTACCAGAGCAGGGCTTCTTGATTGTGCTCACAAGTGATAAAATTTGCATAACTCGATCAATAATATTATGCAGCCATACATACATATGTATAAAGGCACTGTACGCTGTTAAAAATCCCATAAAGTCATAAATTTTAATTTTGAGGTATTGACTTGGCAACGATTTGCAAATCATAAACCGCCTTCCAACTATCCCCCATTGTTCCTAAATTTATACAATAACTCATTTTCGATCGATTTTAAATTTGGAATACGCATATGTAATGTACCTAAGTTCAAGTACGGGCTAAATGAAGACTTTAGTCTGAGGAAGAGCAGTTTCACAATGGAGGTCTTCCAACGTAAGCTCACAGATTTGGAATTTGGACCACATCTTCATGAATATGAAATTAATAAATATTTATTCAGTATTCACGCATTGTAAAATTAAAAAAAAAATATTTGTTTATGAATTAATTACATAACATAATGAATGAATAATTTATTAATGCTCTATTAAACAAATCAATGCGAGCAGTCATGTTTAGAGACCAATGTATGCATAAATATTTCTAGTTGCCCACGCTTGCAAATTTCAACTCAATTCATAATTTCTAAGTCGTCCAGCTCCCGCATAAATGCACGTGTAATTTCTTCTGCTTGGCCACTGCGTAGAAGAAGGTTTCGATTTCCAAAGACACCAATTCTCAGGGTACCCCCGAACGTGATTAACCCGAAGATAAGGCCTGTGTACATGCAGAATATATTCGTACATCAAACATACATTACAAGAGCGTATTTATCCGTACAGACATAATGCTCCATCAGTTTAAATAGAGTTGAACTACCATTAAAATCAGAGGCGGCGGAAGCAGGGGGTCATTGTCCACCAAGGAATTCAGTAAACCCGTATTTTCCCCAAGCTCCTCCTCATATTTACAATCCCACAACACAATACAAATTTCTCCATATTTTCCCCCACTTCCGCCGCCACTGTTATAAATTTTCAATTCCAAATTCCCATAACCAATGGAGATTTATGGGTTTTCTCTTTACAAAATTGTCCATTTTAACGAAATATTTTAACCACCCTGTACATACCTAGCTATCTTATTATTACCTGAATAAGTGGCGCAAAATCCATACATTAGAGACACATTTTTTGACAAATACCCACAAAACTTTGGGTTTTCCTCAGGACCGACGATATTCACAATTAAAATTCTTTCACGTCCTTCATGAAGTTTCTGAATTTGTTTAACAATGGGACGCGGGAGGCTGGACAGGGCGTTCGAGATTAGGGCTGAGGTGACAGGAGAGGTTGACTCTTTCATGGACGTGAATGCCTCGTTAGTGCAAATTAGACGTTTTCGAGCATCCACTTCTCCTATGTTGCCCGTGTACCTGCCATGCGTCCTGTGGTCAAAGTAATATCATTAGGACTACAAAGTTGGCCCACAAACAATGTCTACAAACAATAGAACCTTTTAACCACCGGGTAGAGTTGCCACTTCAACTCGGCTTGACTCAGCTTATTGAGTGAGTCGAGTCAAGCCGAGTCAAGCCGAGTCGAGTTGACCTCAAGTAAGCCGTCGACTCAATGAGTTGGCTTATTGAGTTGCGAGTTGTGAGTGAGTTGGACTCGGCTTGACTCACTCACTCAATAAGCCGGCTGGCTCCGCCTCCCCGTACTTACACACATACACAAACAAATTCAGCTCGCTCCAACTTGTACAGGGTGGCCCTCAGTAACTGTAAGTGAAATGAAGCGCTGTAGCATCAAGGGTTTTTGTGCTTCACATTTATAGTTAATTTTAATAGAAAGCCACTTAATTTCTGAGTAGAAATCAATTTTTAGTTTTCAGAATTTACTCCCCCTCCATTAATGCAGCGCTGAAGATGTCGCCTCCAGTCCTCGACTGGAGCACACGCTGAATCCATGGACAAATTGTATCATTCCGGGGTCAAATAATTTTCTAAAGCCGCGACACTTCTACGAGGCTTAGAACACACATTTTCCCCTAACTTTGACCGTTTTTCATAGTCCAGAGATTCAAATCCAACAAAGAGGACGACAATTTCCCAGCGGAAATAAAGTTCGGAATTTGGTTTTTAGCGTCCCTTGGCTCATTTTTTGGAATATGTAGTGGTACTGTGTCCCATAGCGAGGTCCAGTCGACTCCATTGACTTGGATCTCATTTAGTAGATGTACCTCGGACTCAAAAACGTATTTCAAGAATTTTTTTCTTTGACCTTCCTCCCCGTTTCAACAAAATGTGGAGAAATTACCCCTAATCCGCGCTCACCTACAAAAACCATCAGAAAACATGGATAACGGGACCTTTTGACCTTTTTTTCATATTGAGAGATATCTTTGGCCTATTTTGCATGGACGAAGTCATTTTGTTGGGTTAAAAAAATGCTTTACAATGAAAATCTGCTCATCTGCAACAAGAATTATCTTTACTCTTTTTTAGCGTACCGCTTAAAGAGAGCCCTGCATTTCTTTAACCTGGTTTTCTTTTGGGGGATGGTAAGCATGCGGCAAGTGCTACGTTCCAAAGCCTTAAGTTCAGGGTTCAGTTTGAGCACTCGTTGAATACGGTGCATCGACAATGTCAGCTGTGAGGCTATTTTCCGTTGTAATTTCGTAGATTCCTCCTGATTTCGGCTTTCAGCCCCTTCAGCATGGGTGTCGTCCTTGTAGGTTTTCAAAAAATTCCTACTTCAACTGTTCTTAGTAGGCCAGGTCCAGATGAATGTCTTATGGTTCGTTGAACTAAATTAAAGCGCACGTTCGATTCCTTTCAAGCTTTTCATATTCACTATTTCTCTCGCCATTTTTTAAGTGAAAAATTATCACCACCCGCGTCATTTCAAGATTTTCCCTGCTGATATGCTTTCTAATCAGTTAAAAACGAACTTGTGGTATCTATGTAAAATCGCGCGTAGAATACAATGCACTTATCAGATTTTGATTATCTCGAGTGGTTTTCCCGTTACGAGCTACTTACAGATAGCATCAGCCCACTGGGTAAACACAAAATGCATGCATACCACACTGGTCTGGATTGGCTTATTTGCTTGCCAAAACCTATAACTTTGGAACAAATTATTTTTTTCGAATACTGCCTTCGGGAATCGAGATATGAAGTTCGAAGGGTATAAGTTATGGAAGATTCATTGATAGCCACACCCCTTTAGGGGTGTGGTCAAAGGCAAATAATAATTTTCTCGCGTTACCCCATCAAGTAGGGTATCATTCAAAAGGTCTCATCAAGCTCTATACAATTCAACCACAACATTGGGACATTATCGGCACACCCACCGCAAGGGGGTGGGGTTAAAATGTAAATTTCAAAATTTTGTTTCGATGTATTTGAGGATGAATTTTTATCGAATGACAATATTCTATAGTTTTATTAAGTATTTCTGCCCTCTGATCTCATTACCAAAGAAAACGGCCAAAATTAAAAAATTCGTCGTCCCTCCGCAGGGGGCCACAACGTCATAAAATCCCCCCTTGGTAATAAATTTTTTGAAGGGATTTGTTTTACCATGTTCCCTTACCCAAGGAATGGGGAAGATATTTTGAAGCGATTGTATTATTTGGAACACTCAAAAATTTCATACATAGCAATGATTGGAGCACTCCAGATATTTTGCTTTTACAATTTGCCTTTGCATAAACTCAAATTTCTCTGCCAATCTGCAAAAGGGGCAAAAAGGGGCAGCCGTTTTTGTAGATGAGATATAAGGGTTTAATAACATACTAACAGTTTCTCGAAATACCACAGGACTAGACAGGATTTTCAACTTGAAATTTTCCCCATTTAGCCCAATGTTATAAGTCAAGTTTAGGCATATGCCACGCCATAACCACTGGAACAATTCAAATGAAACTTTCCACAATTGAACATCTATGTCAAAGGTACTGAAGAGGGTAGTTTGTTTTCGGATCGGAGAGAATAGGTTTTGGCCAAGAAATTCAATATTCCGGACCAGCGTGCATACGTATGTACATATGCTTCTTCAATAAGCTGCCTCGACTCACTCGACTCACTCAGATTCTTAATGAGTCGAGTCAAGCCAAGCCGGCTTGCTTCTGACTCGGCTTGTTTCGACTTACAACTCAATGAGTCGACTCGTTTTGACTCACAACTCAATAAGCCGGCTTGCTGGCAACTCTACCACCGGGATTATCTGCCGAGTTATATCAAAAAATCGAGTCAAAAATTAGGAATCACATGGCACTCGTTCATCCGTTGAATGACCCCTTTCAATAAAAATATTGGCGCCAAAGTTTTCTTCAAAAGGGCATTCAAGAGAAATACGAGTTTCATGGATTACTAATTTTTGGCTTGATTCTTTGATATAATTCGCTAGATAATCCGGGTGTCGCTCGATGAAAGGTTCCATTGTAGGTACATACAGATTGTTCCCGAGTAGTCTATCCCTTTTCCATGGTGGAAGAAGCGTTGTTTCAACCGTTACTTTGGCCGAAATTGGCGCCTTCTCGGCGAAAAATGAGCTGCGGACGGCACCCAAGATTGCCGAATGCATAACCGCCGTTCCACTCACGCCGTGGCGCATCCCCAAGTGACGAATTCTACTAAATAGGATGGGTTCACTGATGTGGAATCGGATGTAAGCAGCGGCTTCGCAAGGTGAACACTTGTCGTCCAAGGTTGTTCTTATCTAAATTCAGGTATTAAGGCCAGGGGAATTTGAGACGAAATTATAAATTTTTCGTATTTACTGTTCATCCAATATTAATAGTCGCAATTTCTTGGAAAATTTTCTGAGAGGTTATTTGGTTGCTAATTGAAAAACAAATAATCTGCCAGGTAACCTTTCAGAATTTTTTGCGACTAAGAATTCTGGACGAACAGTAGTATGAGTTGCTACATTTGTATCCTGAATAAAGCCCCCGGTTCGGGATCCGGCACGGCACGTCTGCATAAAGTCGTACGGCATTCCCAAATACCGAATTGGCGACATTGTACTCGTCTTAATGGAAATTTTCCTTGTTGATTCTACACTTTGTTGTGTTACCATCTTCTGAAAGAGATGGAAGATTCCAACACCGTCAACAAGGGCGTGATGGAAGCGGAATAAAATAGTTGAAGATGGTGTTTCCAGGCTTGAATTAATTTTAACATGTACAATCACAAGCTCCCACAATGGTCCGTTTGATGCGAAGGGTTTGAATGTAAACTGGGTTTGATAATCAAGTATTTTGTCTTTCGTCATATCTGGAAATTTAGGGTGTAATGTGTGATAAATCTTACAATGCGATGGCGTGAAGTGTAACACTCAGATTTTGTGGAAATTTTAGAATTATAAAGCTTAGGTCGATATGAACCACCGACGTTTATTGACGGAATTAGATAGTGCGATGATTTGAATTTGCCAAAATGTATATTTGACCTCAAATTTCAATTTTAGAATTGGCGATTTTATGAACGAAAGTGGAGCTTGCATTCATCGCCTGATAAAAATCATCTCTTTTACATAGCGAAAACTCCCTCAAGAAATGCTGGTGGTATTGACTTAAACTGATTAATTCAAGAAATTTCAACAAATTCGGAGAGTCGGAGAGTTATACTTCACACCATCGCATTGTTAGCAATTAAAGTAGATTTCTTTTGATATGAAATCACCTTTGACTACGCTTACTGGATTCTCAATTATTGTGGCCTCAGCCCAGAATGGAAATCCCATAAATTCCTTAATCGTCCAACCCAGTTCAGGGTATAGCAGGGCGTCGTGTTCATCCCTCGCTGAGAGTATCTGGGTCCTGAAAGTCTCCCGGATGAGGTGTGGATCAACTTCTCCCTCCAATTCAAGACCTGCCAGCACCGTACTTGCGGGACACGTGTAGATTCGATCGTACGAAAATCTTGCGTCGCCAGGTGTCAGAATGGTCTTCAGATGTGGTCTTAACTGTTATATATAAAAATCATAATCATTTCTGCCAGTGGTTCGGGTACAAGTAACCACTGCAAGAAATAGCAGCAAGAAAGTGGTTTCTTACAGCTATCTATAATGACCAGTGGCGGCGGAAGCAGGGGGACAGGGGGACATTGCCCCCCCAGAAATTGATAACAATCGTTAGTTATCTTGCCCGTGTTAATAAGTCCTTCCTCCTCCAATCCCACAATGCTAATGTCCCCACATGTCCACCCTACTTCCGTCGCCACTGATAATGACCTGCAAGAAATGCAAGGGGCGAGGAAAAATTTCCCGTCGCTATAGTTCACACGGCTCGTGGCTAGATGGCGCATATTTCTTGCACCTCGCATTTCTTGCGTTGGTAAGAAATGTACGAAACCTGCAAGAAGCGAAATACTTGATTTTGATATTTTTTTTAATTTCCGATATACTCAAATTAGGCGGTGCACCAGGTAATACGTTTATAACCTCTATTTTTTAACTACTGTTTGTTGAGAAAAGTAGAAAAAAATATATAAATTACTTTAGAAAAATTCAACGACATTTTTCTCTATTTTTTGAACAGATAGTAGTTACCACTAAATTTTTACAAATACTTTTTCGTGCCTTACCAGCATTGCGATAAGTTTGACTAGACAGCGATAAAGGTAGAAGGGAAGCCAGGCCAAAATTAAGGGAGGCACAAGCAACCACAGCGGCAGGTAGAGGGTAGTTTTTAAAGCTGAAGGTTTGCTCATTATGAGTGAGATACAGATCGACCAAGACTCTGAGAAGGACTGAAATCCTGTTTGAAGAACAGTAGTAGAGAGAAAAAGTTAGTGATGACCGTTACTAAAAAATTATGGTACATTTTGGTCAATTTTATTTATCATGTACAGGTAGATAATTGCAGTCGTTCTTATATAAATACATACATGTATACCAAATGTATACTCTTAGAAACCTGGTGTTCAATAATTACTCACCGAAGTACATTACCACTCCAGAGACAATCTACCAATAATCCGGTAGGAAGCTGTTACCAAATCAATACTAGGATGAAATATCTAAGTATATGTACACTAACGTAGTGCATTGGTAAAACAACTCCATAAAAAATTGTTTGCTACTACTTTATTTTTATGTACATGCATATTGCATAAATATATGCAAAAAAATTTGCCAAAATGCTAACACCAATAGAAAAAATTGCATAGGTCGTGGTTGACATGTGTTGATCTTGATCAGCTCGCTTTTCTATACTTAATTAAAATTAACTTACATATGTATTGTGCTCACAAGTGGTACATATGTATGTAAATGAAATCTTAAAGTCGCTCCGCAATATAGTGAAGCCATGTTATGCAAAAGATATTTAAAAAACATTTTGTATTTCTTATATACATATTTATGTACATACGGACTAACAACGGTGTGCTACTGGTTGGTACAATTTTCATTACTACTGTGATGCACACAGATTTACGTATTACCGCAGTGTTATTTATTACCGGTAGCGTCGTATCCGTATAATTCAGTCTTATAAACAACCTGTAGGCAATAATTTAGTTTCTTAGAGTGCACATTTATTGCTAACCGTCGGTAAATTATCGATGTCTTGTGATCCTTGCGCCTTCTCGACTAATTAACCTACCTGCACTTTTTATTGATAAGTACCTGAAGCTTATTATTTTTAACAGATGTAGCAAACCATCTGCTCTGAATTATGTATCTATGCAGAAGAAACTTGTTTAATAAATAGGTTTCGCCAATGACATTGGGATTGGGCAATAAAGCTTAATTCATAAATAAGACGAAGGATTATGGATATTTCGTTTAGGCAAGGTTATTAATCAGGACTTCCTTCTACTCATCAGATGCGGCTATTACATTAGGCCCCATCCATAAATTAAGTCACTCGAGAGGGGGAGGCGGGCCCAAGGCTTGAATGATATCGCGCCCACGTGACCCATGTTAATGGGAGGGAGGAGGGGAGGTCTAGAAATTGCGATTTTTTGCGTGACATAATTTATACGCCACTACTGGAGTAACTTATTACAACTGCATGCATATTGGGAATATTCCTTACCAATTCGAATCAGTAGCAAAGTTTGCAAAAACTTATGGCTCAAAAATTCATTTGCGAACTTGAGCATATCCCTCCAAGGCTAGTAGTTCGTTCGTAATTTTTCTAAATTATGTTGGTATGTTAAAATTCCAACTCGTAATTAATACCCCTGATGTTAATCTCAATTAAGAGAGTGACATTGTAAACACATCTACATATGTATTTGCCCGATGTCTCCACGTTATGCATACTACGAATAACAAACAACAGGTTGATCAAACCTGTAATGCAACCTGACCTCTGCCAAGGGAAACGCAAATAGGTGTTCGACATGTTCAAGTTTAATAAATATAAATTTTCCTGTCATTTAATTGTACGAATTTTCAAGTCTACTGTCTCAAGACGAAAACAAGAAAAGCAAGGTTGTCCTTATGGCAAAATTAAATGATACACTTGTATAAATGGGTTTATGCAAATGGGTATACATAGGTATGTACATAAATGCATTCATTTTACAGATATTAAGTATATAGATACACATTTGTATATGACTGGTTTGATACCAAGAAGTAAGAACACGACCAGTCAGTAATTCTTATTATTGTATTTATGGCCATTACATGCTAATCTTAATTGCATACATACATAGATATACAAATTTTAATTATTATTGCATATTTCTTGCTCTAGGTTGACAGGAATTGATTAAAGCTGCAAGACGCTACAAGCACAATCGATAATCATTGTGCAACGTTTATTTGTATACATCCAACCAGTGCGGCTTCAATAATTTACTTTACAGGAATTGGTGGCAATAACTTTACATACAATTGACGTATCACAAGTTTAACATCGGTCTTTTACGGTGTGAGTACAGAGTACATATCTAAAATGTAGTAGCAAATGGTTTAAAAATATTTGTCCCGAAATGTTTGAAATGCTGAAATTTCTGTTTTTTCTATATTGGCGTACATAATATTCCTCCGTTTGCAATCCTTTTCACGACTTGTGTCCTCTTTTGGAGAAATTGTGTCAATGCTTAGTTTATCTTCGATACTGGGGGGAAGGATGGGAGATATTACATTCCAGCTCGGTGGCAGTAGGTACTGCATACTTATGCAAATTAAGAATTATTCATAAATATAGAATTTATATGTACTATCTGTCCACGGCAAGTTGAACCCGGAGATATGGGAGACTAAACTCAGTTCAACGTTAATAAGCATGGGCCGGGATTTAGTCTTCCATATCTCCGGGTTCAACTTGCCGTGGACAAACTATACATATGAATTTTTTCTTGTCTTCTAAATAAAATCGTTGGTTTTCTATAGACGTGTATGACACGAATAATATTGTCAGCGTACAACCTCGACCATCACGCGCTCGTATCCTTTCCACACTATTAGTATGGTAGGGATACGAACGCTGGAGTCAAATTTTGCCCGAGGTTGCATGATGGACATAATACCTGGACTATTGCTACTGTTTTTGAAATCCACCAGGATAAATTTGATCTGGTCAAGTTATGGACGGATTTTGAGAAAAGGATTTTATCGGCGAGAATGTGTGAGACGAACGCTTCCTCAAAATTAGTCTACCCGGAATTATGATGAAGGAATGATTGTTTGGAACGCATTTCCCCAACCGTGTGTATCTTTTAAAATTGGAGATAAGGTTGAAGATCATTTCAATTACCTGGAGACTTAAATATGTATTTATTTAACCTGTAATTTTCTGAAATATTCCAATGTGCATGAAATGGCTTAAGTAGACCTGGAGAACATTTTCCAAGCGCCATAGATCGGAGTACGCAGCTTTTTCTGGAGGCCGGAGTACGCGTGGCCAGCCGGAGGCCGGAGTACGCGGAGGCCGGAGTACGCAAAATATCCGATCTATGCCAAGCGCTAATTCCACCGTTTTCCATCGTTTTAAACTGATGCATTACCAAGTGGAAATTATTACGATGAATTTTCGGCTCTTGAAATGGTAGTGGAACTCGCCGTTCAATTAATGTCCCTAATAAATTAAAATTACTATTTATTATCGATTTATATATTTACAAATCTGTACATGTTTGTTTCCGTCAGTACATAAGTATTTACATAAATATCAATTTTTAACCATCGTCCAAAAATTAAAATATTTCGTATCCACAAAGCTAAACAGATAAGCATGTCGTTATCGTGTAGCTTAATATGGCCTCGTAATACGCCGACTTGGTTGATCTCTTTAGTTCGAAAATATTGAATTGCAAAATTTCACCGAACATTCGCACAACTCTGATCGTCCATAATTTTCGTTTCATATATTTCATATTCCTTTGTTTCCAAACAACATTTTGCCACTGACGCTTGAGCAGAGCGGCGTCCTCGTAAACCTTGACACCAACAGAGAGCAAGGTTCTTATCAAGATCGGCGCGATAAGCGAGATGGATGGGGCCACAAGATAGATCGGCATCGGGATCACGTGACGAAGTTTGATGGTACAGAAATTGCTGCCGACATCCATCAAAAAGGCAAGCCCCATTAAGAGCAGGATTAATGAGCTTGTCACATTTGCGCCAAATTTAGAATTATTTGAATTCCGCGGTAGTCTAAGATCACTTGGAGGATGCTACTTTTTCGCGCGAAATTTGAAAGACATCCCAACGCCAAATTGGCGCAGATAGTGAGCAGCTGGATAATCCCGTTGATCGCGCGACATCCCATGATGCAGCAGAAAAATGTGGATCCGCTGACGAAAAGTTGGGTAAATTTGAATATGATAAGAAGGCTAAGGTTGTGGATGGGGTAGGTTGAGATGATTTTACTGAAAATTTGGCTATACACGTCCAACTGGAAGAAGATTCCGAGCGGGATGCAGTAATGGGTGAAAGTTGCGAAGTAAATGGACGTCATGATTAGAAATTCAGCGGTTGGATCGCTTCCCAATACGGGTGTGGATTTAGATCGGGTTATTGGTGATCCTGAAAATTAATGAGTAGTGAAAAAATATTGATAAGCAAGCGGTTTTTTACCATGGAAGATAAGAATGAATTACTTTCATGAGATTTGATTTAATACTTTGAACTTGTATAGCCCTAACTAGAAAATTACAATGAGGTACTTCACGCAGTCATCGAGGTAGTTTGTAAAAATCTGTGCGTTTTGTAAAATAATTTTACAAACTGTTACAAAATAAAAAGGACGCGAATAGTCTCTGAGCAAGTTTATAAAGACTTGTAAGCTACAAAGTTTTCCTTAGAAATGTTCTTTATGTATTTCTACACCTTTCTAGAAATTTTCAATTTTACAGATGATTTTACGAATTTTACGATATTATCAAGATCTGCGTGAATTGGCCCAATGAAATAAAAATAAACAATCTTTGCTTGCATTCATATCTACATACATGTGTAATTGTTCTAATACTTTTAGACTGGGTGGATCATTTTAATCTTTCTTGCTTATCGTAAATCAAGCCTTACCCGAGCTTGACCTAGTTTCTAAATCATTCAGCTCGTTAAATGCAGCCGACATGATTTTTCCCCATCTCCAGTACCCAATCTCAACCAGTGAAGCGAATAAAATGAGTGAAAATGTTCCAATTACGATAGTAACGTGTACTTTGGACAATTCCACCAGTCCGAACAACCACAGGGAAATTAGTACCCAACATGTCAGGACTTGAAGGACAGAGTACGACATGACGGCCACCCAAGGGTACAATATTGGCGAAAATGGGACGTAGATAAATTTGCACTTTTGCGAATCCCATTTTACTGGACGTTTCCATAAATAGGAATACAGGTTTTCGTACACGTCGAGAGATTTCCACATTAATTTAGACAACACCATGACGACGCAAGTCTGTTTGATGGGTCGTGTTTAAGCATTTGTGTTCTGAGCACGTAGATAAATACTTCGTGCTCTAATTCTAATGTGATCAATTTAAGTTTGCTTACGTAATAGTAGAAATATTTGAATATTTAATAAGATTTGTGTAGATTGGTGGAATACATTTTTTATGATATTCCGTCACAGTGCCGTAGGTGTCCTTGGTCCGGCCTGGAGAGTAAAATTCTGGTCCGGCCTTTTATGTGCAAAATTATTAAAATTGATACAGCGGATTTCTGTCGCTTATTTCTTATCTACGGCTATCGTTACAAATACAGAGGGTGTCCCATATATTCGTGGAAAGGTTTAATAATTTTTTTACATCACAAGCGTATTTTCCTAAGGCGAAACTTGTGCCGTATGACGGCCCTTGTTTTTAACTTTAAAAATGCATCTATTTTTATCCGATAAAAAAACTTTCAAGGAGTTTTCTTATTTCGTATATCTTCCAGTCATTATTTTAAGCGTTCCATCGTGCGTGAAAATTCGTAAATCGATTCAGAATTTTCATGATTGGTTAAGTCTATATTTTTGTAAAAATTGTACCTTTATCTGGCCACAAATATTCTTAATTTCTGATATACATAAATTTAAAATTCCCGAAAATCTCAAGTTCATATTTAAACTTGATTTTAAATTAAATTATAGCTTATTACTGTACTGAGAAAGTTTTTTAAATTCTAACTAATACAGGGCCTTTAAAAACGGTTTGGAACCGTTTTTCACAGAATAGATAATCGGGTTACTTAAATTTGCAAAAATTCAATTTCAAACCGGTTTTCAAAATCTTCAGATTTTGGATGTCGCAGAGATGAGACTTGATTGCCAAATTTCACGAAACAGAAATTATTGAATAAGTTATGTACATCAAGCCAATTTTGGTTATCGTTTTCAGAATTCAATTTCTACTTGTCCACTGTTTGACAGATGTGTATTAGCATTTGTAACACCCCACTTTCGTGAATTAAAGCTCCTAGAAAAAAGGTAACGCAAATCAGTTTTTTTCGCTCGGAAATGCTAGAACACATTCATAGATTTTGAGAAAATTAAAGAGGAACATGCTCCTCGCCATTGTTATGAAAGACTTTAAAGGTCGTTTAGACCAAAAAATAGTTGGTGAAGTAGGGATATTTTATTTAGTGCTATGGGTTAAGTATTTAATACAAAATATTCGAAATAGTCATAGGACACCAACATTTTGCATGAGTGGGCCGACACAGATAGAATGGTTAAGTTATTAATGCTCGATTAATAGTGCCACGGCCTTTTCAATTACATATGAAAAATTGTTTGATAAGGTAATTAACTCAAACTTTAAAATTTTTCAACTGCAGGTATGTTACCTCAACCGATTTGCAGAAATCGTCCCAGAAGGCTTAAGTTTGAGTATTGTATCTTTTTGTGAGATCATTGAAACTTTTCAGAAGTGAACAAAATCAGGATTCAATTTATAACTATGTAAGCGTTGGTTTGGGAAGTTAGGTTCTATGTATAAGTTGACTTGTGAGATGTACTTCGGAGGGACAATAATATCTAGTGTCTGCATCACACAGCCGGTACGGCCCTTCGGGCCGTCCGGCCTGGAGAGTGCTCTCCACCTAAAACCAGTGCTCCTACGGCCCTGTTCCGTCAGCATAAAACTGATTAACCTTTGTCCTTGATCGGTTGAGAAAAATAAGATTGCTAAATTCCTAATTTAAATATTTTTCAAGGACTTATATTGTTAGGAAGTGCACGTGCCTTGCAGCATGTTTAACCTCTTGGCTACCAATTACACACAACGATTTTTTATCACTTGACTATCATAAACTATTTTTCGGAATGTTACTTTGCCTACCAATTACACACATTTGTGTAGCAAAATTATTTTTCTTAGCTACCAAAATGTTCTTTGGAAATTTTATGTTGTCCGGCGTTTTACAACTTGATAGATTTCCATCGACTACCAGAATTTTAAAAATAATATTTCGATATAATTACACACATTTGTGTAACTGGTACGCAATGGAAAACGAGCACGTGTGTAATTGGTAGCCAATGGAAATAATTTTGCTACACAAATATGTGTAATTGGTAGGCAAAGTAATATTTTGAAAAGTAGATTGATAGTCAAGTAATAAAAAATCGTTACACAAATGTGTGTAATTTGGTACGTAGCGGAATATTCCCGAAAATTAACTGGCTACAAGTGTGGGCGTTGGTCTTCCGGCTTGGTAGGTCAGAGGTGAGTGCAGTCGGGACGGACTGGGATGAATGTTCCGGAAGGTCACCACACAGTTTGGAGGCGTAAGGCCGTATGTGCGATCGGCAGCCCCACTTATGATGTGAGATACACGAAAGTTAATGTTTTATCGGAATTTAGCACTCGAAATAAGTCACCGAAATGTAATACGCGTCCCCCGAGAGTTATAGTTTTTACAGAGCAACTGGTTATCAATTTATTTTACGTAGCCGGAGGATTTTACATTTATGTATCAAGAAACCAAAATATATTTAGAGGTTGTGGAAACTGTAGAATTATGGGGGACTTTAGGATGGCAGTGGTGGAGAGAGGAGATACGTCTTGGTAGACGCCGGAACTCCGTCTGCCAGGATTCTTGGATGGAGGACAGTATATGTCCTTGCTGAAGGAGACGATGTCCTTCAGTCGATGTATGGATAATTTAGGAGTGAGTGGCCGGTCGAGACATCAATGTATGAATATGGAGACGAGGAAGAGATAGGAGGGGAGGATGCATATGATATGCATAGTTCCCTCAGGACCCCCCGGGAAAGTAGCGGTACTCCCTACCGTGGAGTGGGGCCAAAGTTGAGAGGAACGGGGCGAAAAAATCGGACGTATCCATGTGGAGTTGTCGTCTTGGGGCGGCTGGATGGCCAGTGTCACCATCGTGGTAGATAGGGATGCGGGGAAGATTGTGTTGTCGGAGTCGTCGTCATCCGACTTGAGGAGATCGTCCTCTTCTTGGGGTGGGAGTTAGCTGTAAAAATTAAACAAGATTGGACGACCAAATTAATATGTATTATGGTCAAAATATAAAAAATTGTAGGGGTTAGTAATTTTCACACAGATTTTTCGTCTCTTCGGCAGTTTGTTTCAAAAGTTGACATTTAAGGAAAAAGGTAGAAAAAAATTCGGCATATCTGTGTGACAAAATTATTATGTATACACACTGAAAAATTACGGGAATGAATTGGAAATTGACTCTTTGAGTGAAAAATACGTGTGTATACTAG